ATACAATCAAAATTAACATTAATTTTTGCACTTTTTTTGATCCAAATTAAGTCAGCAGCTCCTTCAAGGGCCTATAATCCACTGAGGGGAAACCCTGAAGTCTTGTGGCAACTTGTTAATATTTTTCATGTATTTTTTTTTTCCTTTTTGATGCCCACCTTGAAAAATCTGTAAAAACGTTTTTTTTTTTTAAGGGCATGATGGAGCAAGCGAAGCGTGGCAGTTTATCAGTGGCTCGAAGCATCCTCAACCACAAACTGATTGGGAAGAAACTGGAGAGCTACCTCAAAGTATGTGCATCATTTGTTTATTTAAATTTATTTTATTCTCTTTTTTTTTTTTTTGACAGTTTGAATTTTATTTTTTGTTTCACTATTTTATTATATATTTCATTTACTATTTTTGCTTTGCTATTTTTTATTTTATTTTCTTACTTCCTATTATTTTATTCACCTTTGCTATTTTGTATTTGCAATTCTATTTTATTGTATTTTTCATATACTATCTTGTTCTGTTTAAGTAATAGTTTTGATTTATGTACTATTATATTATGCATTAGAATTTCAATGTTTTATTTACTGTTAATTTAACTATTTTGTTAACTTTTATGTTAATTTTGTTTACTATTTCAGCATTTTATTTACTGTTTTTTGTACTATTAGATTTGTTCATGTTCAATATTTTTTTGTGTTTTTATATACATTATATTACATTACTGTTTACAGTTTATTTACTATGTTTTATTAACTGTTAATAAATATGTCATTAACAGTTAACTATTATTTTTCATCCATTATTAATGAAGTGTGAAATATTTGAAAACAAAAAAAAATGTTTTTTATTCATAAAGCAATCATGTCTGCAATTTATTTTCTTATTACCATTGTAGTAAATGTACATTGAAGTATTGTCTCGTTGCCAGGGTGAGAACCCATTCACTGGGAACCAAGACGAGCACGACCCAGAGGACTCCATGGCGATGGATGTGTCGGAGCTGGAGCACACCGGGGAGGCGGCCGAAGGTCAGCCAGAAAACCCAGAGGTCAAAGATGAGCGTGTGGCTGAAGGAGAAGCCGCTCAGGAGGCAGAGGGAGAACAACCAGCAGCTGCTGCAGGTGAGGAGAGGATGGAGGACGAAGAGCAGCAGCTGCAGCAGCTGGAGGAAGAGAACCAGGAAGAGGAAACGCAGGAAAACCATGGAGTAGAAGAAGGTTTCGAGATTGGCGAGGAGGAGGACGAAGGATACGTAGTGCACAACGAAGGAGAAGAGGGATTCCATGGCGAGGAGGAAGGAGCGGAGGAATGTCAAGAATGAACTCTCCTTCCTTCCTGTGAGCGTTTTAATGTGAATATGTCTGGACCAGTCCAGTTAAATCAGCTGTACATACTTTTGCTGTTTTTCTTTGGTTCTTATTGCATTAGGAATACGTTTCCCACTTCAGGTACTGCTATTCACTAAGCTCAACTAAAAGTGGCAACGTTTCTTTAAGCAACTCCGATGCATGACTGTGTCCCAGTATGTTTCAAATGAATTTGTAAAGTAGCTTTTTTTCGGGACAAACAGGTGGCCTTGCTGGTTCCAGAATTAAATCAAATAATAAATGCTTGTGCTGTCTTCACTCTCAATGCAACTAGAACCTGGATTTCTTTTTTTTTTTTTCTTCTTCTTTTTTTTTTCTTTTCATTATTTAAACCTCAAAGGTAATATTTGTGAAAATATCAAACCTTTATCCTTTTTGTTGAATATTTCTAATTTCTTTTACAAGCTATCAGTATTGTAATGTTCCAAGATCTTTTATTTTATTTTATTTTTGTAGTTGCATGGTGACCCAGAATTGACCTATTTGTGATCTGCAACTGAATTTCACAGCAATGTGAGCTTTTTTAATCTTCCGGTGAATTTAACTGTTGACATTCAGACTAGATGGGGAAAAAAGATGTGACTATTTGTTTCACCTGAGAAATAAACTTGTTCAAAACAAATCTGATTTGTTTCAGGATTGTTGTATCTCAAAGGACGCTAGGTCTCAATTAAACTTAAATAGTTCCTTTAAGCTTTGAAGTTTAAGATACTTTTTAGAGCTACATTATGGTTGAGTGTTTTCATGGTCTTAGCTTTTTGTGCAACCGTTCTTGATTGCTTGAGTTTGACCTATTAATTAAAAATTGTTTGATCTCAAAGTAATATATAATTAAGTGTAAGGTGGAATGTTTTCAGGATTTATCCCAAAATGCACATGCATTTTGCCAAATCTCGATTTGTCACTTTTAACGGTGACGTAAATTGTAAATTCGAATGAATAATTAAATATCTTAGGATGCCTTTATCCACTTTTAGTGTTGTGGCATGGTCTTTTGTTCTCAGGAGTTTATCTGCAGCTGTTAATTTATTGTTTTCTTCCGGCGCTCAGTTCGTCTAAAGTTTACACCAGCCTTTATGCTATTACGAGGTGTTGCGTAATCGCGCCAGTGGGAGGAGCGAGCCTGTAGGTGACATTTTCGTCTGACACACATTCGCCCCGCCCCCTTTACGTCTGGCGTCATCGACGTCGAACGGGACTGTTTGTTCTGGATTTGGGGCGAGGAAGGTCTATGGGCGCTGACAAGCGACTGAACAAGGTAAAAATAGCCTTTAATGGTCCCGTTTGGATGACGGCCGCGTATCAAACAAAAGCGTACGGCTGTGGGGGTCTGCTGAAGTGTTTAAAATGGTCTTCGTTGGCGTATTTTCCGCGCTGTCAGTGAGTGCTTCAGCAAGCGGAGCATGAGCTGTCCTCGCAGGCCTTGTACCGGTTTGGCTACACGGGATATATGTCGTTCCGCCTCATATTTGCGTGCGGTTTCGTCTCCTCGTGAACGTTCCGTGTCGTATCTTCCACGTCTCGGTACTTTTGTTGAGGTGACTTACGTGACAGGTGTCACTCGGTGCTGTCAGTGTTCATGTTAGCGGCAGGTCGCTGGGACGCTAGTCAATTAGCTGCTAGGCTGTTTGTTTGTAGCCCCGTAGGCCGTATTCGTGACATAAGTTACGTCCTAATGGGTGCGTAGATTATGCTCTATGGCGCAGAAGCTCATGTGAAGGGCGACGTACGGCGTTTCGAGAATACCACCAGTGCCGTCGGAGTGGTATTCTAAAACACCGTTTACGTACACAGCTGTCACTTGATCACGGCGACCCACAGTCGTGGAAGGTTAGCGAGGAAAGGTTTGCGGCAAGCTGGGCTTTTAAGGTTTTGTTTGGGTCAGATTGCGTCACGAATTTTAATGGACACATTTTATGGTGGCGAACCGAACAAATGTAGTATTTTTTTTATTACCTCGGTGTGTGGAGGTTGTGGCCTTCTTTAAAATACGCAATGTATTCTTTAACGTAGAATCTGATTTTTTTTTAAGTAGCGCTAATCAAAGTTAAATATTAAGTGCTATGTTAGGCATTGTGCTATTAACGTCAGAGTGGATCACAATTTGTCGCTCTTAAAATACCTGATTTGACTAGACTGCAAAATTGTCTCCTTTTGATCATTGGCAGGTCAACAAAATATTGGTCTGAAGGATGTTATTGAAAAAAGGATTAAAAACTTTCAAACGATCCCAAGATTATGCGTATATTCAAGATTTCAAATGAAATTCAGTGTTGAAAGCTGAAATTTTGAAATCCGTAGATTTATGAAAACCACATATGTTAGAATGTGATTCATCATCATCTTTACAGAAACAAATAGATCTACATGAGAATAAAAGGAAAATTATCATTTATCCAGTTTATTCAATCCATATAAGATGGTTATTCTGTGGGATAATTTCGCTACTTATTTTTATATATTTCCAGCAATAAAAGCAAGCAGTAAAATATTTCCACCTTAAAACTAATGGTGAACTTTAAAAACCAAAACACACAACAATTACTAAATTGCTTATTAAATAGCTTTCTGTTGAGATAATTTACAAAGTTTCCTTGTGACGATGCAGAACCGTAATTTTTCTTTTTCTTTTGAGCTAAAAATGTTTGGAAGTAAAGAATGAAATTCTACTTCAGTTCCAAGTAATTGAATAAAATGGCCAACAAAAAAGTAGGCCATTTTAAATATCCTTTAATGACACACACAATAGTGGAGGACTGAATCAAAATGTACAATAAACACCTGCTGATGTAGTTGAAGCATTTAAATAAACAAGCTTGCTGTTATTTGAGAGAATGGCACAGAACATACTGGAAAATATGCATTGAGCAACGGCAAAGAAACTATAATAACATGTTAGTATCACAGTTATGCATTTTAATATTATCCACCACTAACCAGAAGCTAATGCTAGCTAATTTGCTGGGCAATTGAAATTGTTGGCAAACCTGCTGTAAGCTAAAAACATGCACTGCTCCAGATTTCGCGCTTGCAATCTTTTGTTTGCCCTAATAACTGTAATAGACGGGACTCTGGTTATTTGAACGGTGAATATGATGCATGTCTTTCTCATAAACAAGAGAAATGACTTAATAGTGATTCTATGTTGAAAGAGGAGCGAAGTGGGAAGCGTCAGCTCTGCTCCAAACTTTGATTTTGGTTCGACTTAAAAACCGAATGAACAGTTTTGAAGCCACACCTTTGTAGAACTGTCGTTAAAAATAGAAAATGACTGGAGTAAAAATTATAGTCAAAATATGAAATGTTTTGTTCCTATTTTGGTGGAAACTGGATTTTATGTTCACTAATGAATATTGTATGTTTACCCCATTGTGTTACTGGATATTAAAAATTACAACTTGCACTAGCAAGTAAAAGAGATCTCAGAAATTGAGAGATTTTAGTTGCATAATGAAATTAATGTACTTATCAAGAAACCTGTCTAATTAAAACTCTGATCAGATTTTTTTTCTAACACTGCTGGTCACAGTATCGTATAATTATCCTGTTTTCATTGGTTACTTAACGAATTCGGACATGTCTCGACTTAGACCTCGGGCGCTCACTCTCTGTCTCTCTGTGTGTCTCTCTCGCAGGTTTGACACTCGCCTCTCTATGTGTTGTGGTTTCCCTGAACTCACAGCGTGTCGCTGACAAGCATCCCGTGTTTCCTCAGAAAGGTGCCGCCTCACCAACTGAGATATGATTACACTAGTGGAGTAGACCACAGCGGCACAGCATCAACCATGTGAGTTCCTCAAAGATCGTTTCTCAGATCAGGTCAAAATTAGCAACACAAAAGTGCAGGAGATAAAACACAATCTGGACCAGGGATTTATTCAAGTTCAAAGGATAAACGGAGAGGAGCTCATCAAGAACCTATTGCATTGAAAGCTGCAGAAAAAGTTAGCACTGCTGTCATCTCAAGCATCATCTAATGAAATCCAAAGTTTTTGCTTTGATGATTTAGTCAAGTCGACTTAAAGTTTGCTCTTCAGTTGCATCGTAATGTCGACAGAGTACTTAATGTTATAATGGTGTTGTCTCCTGGGAAAACCTGCATGGAATTGATGCTTGATCCAAGACTAAGCAGTGCTGTGTTTTTATTTTAAAGGGGCAGTTTTATGTAAAATCAACTCTTTTTTTATGCTATATTGGTATTTTTTCATTAAAAACATACCTGGAGTATTGCCTTGAGTCTCTCATGCATGTTTGAGAAATCCTTTAATCTCCCATGGCAAACATGCAGGTGTGCCAAACGCCTTGGTGGACCGAGCCCCACCTTTGAGGACTGGTTCCTCCTCGGAGCTGCAGTTTCTAAGTTTCTGAGCTTCTCAGCTCCTTCAGACTAGCCAGCAGCAGTGGAACTTGATCTCATTATATGAGCTACTTCTCAGAGCAACGCTGGTAAAAAAAAAAAAAAAGTACTGTTAAAGGGTTAGTAGAGGAGCAATGTTGTGATTATTTCCTGAAGGTGGAATTTCAGAAAGAGGATGAGTTTTTTAAAGAGACAGAAGCCTATTTTCAAGCCGTGAAATTTCTTTTGAGTCATATTTGGTGTTCAGTTTATAACAACTGAATGGAACATAGTTATGCTTTTAAATATCACTGTATGCCTGGAAAATACACAATAAATGTTGACATTACCTTTTCCTGCTGAAGCTTACCAACACAATCTCCAAAGCTTTACACATTCAATACTCTGAATACTAGGCACTACTGCTGTAATTTTGAAAGCTATAATGAATCGGATAAAACACACTGACATTACCTTATCACTTAAATTTTGAAATATTTTCATTGTAGATTGAGGACTTGCATGGAATAATTTAGGTTTAGTATGGTGTTTAACATGGTGTTTTGCACGAGAGACCAAATGCATCTGGATTCAGTTTAATGCCTATTTAGTGCTGGCATGTTAATGCAACACCACTAGTACTACGTCAAAAAGCAAGCTAAAAGTATAACATTTTTAGTAAGCTCCTTTCGTCTTTTCACAAATCGGCAACGGAGAAGCTTGTGTTCTGCGCTCAAGGGAGTTTTCACATCTAAAGCTGGCGTCACAGAACCACATGGATGCAGAGTGGAAGTCAGCAGAGTGGGTTTAGAGAACTACAAGTAAAATCTGTGTCTAAAAACGTGAAAAGGTTTAAACCCCATCGGTGACGTGTGACTCCCTCTCGATTTTTTTTATTTCCACTTCCAGGCTTGACCTTTACTGAAGAAACTACCGTTGGTTGAGGTCCGGCGGTCTGATCTATAGGTGCACATCAACAAGTCAAGCGTATCTTTATGGAAAGAAATGAGGCGTGTGGCGCACGCCGCTGCACTAGTCCCGGTGTGTTACGTCTTAAATCAGCCGATCAGCCACTCACACACACTTTAGTGACGTCTCTGCATCACACCTTCAAACCAGATCACACGTCTGGTTTGAAATCTAATCTAGATCACACGTCAAACCAGATGTGTAATCTAGATTAGATGACATCTCACCTCATACAGCAGAGATGAGATATTCACCTACATAAATACACAAACATTTTCTTTACTGTATAATAGGATTAAATGCCTGTTGGAGATCATTTAGAATTACTGAAATCAATTCTGTTTGCTAAATCCTTGAATGATTGAACAGAATTTTAAATATTTGATTTATATTGAGCCACATCTGTTTATCAGTTTGCATGAGATCACAAGAACAAAACGAAACAATAAAGAAGAAAGTGTAAAAATACTCATCTTAGCACATTAAAAAATTTTGCCAACACTGCCAGAATTAAAAGGAAAAAGTTTTTTAACAGAATTTATGTTAATATTTGGCGACAACTGTTAATGGCCCTGCATAGGGCTCTCACTTCCTCATTTGGCAGGTTGGAGATTTTGTCGAAGTGTTTGGGTAACTTTTTGTTTTTGTTTTTGGATGGGGGAGGATAATCAGAATTCACCCTTGCTTTTTACAAGTAATGATACATTCTGTGAGTTTGTGCCATACTTTATGCACAACTAAACGTTTTGATGTTATTTGTTGTTGTTTTTTTGTTTGTTTGTTTTGTTTTGGGGTTGTTGTTTTTTTTGGCGAAGTTGAAATTACGGTTACTGACATTATTGTCTTGTGTTTGCATTTCATTTGGAGTTGAAGCTGCATTTACTCCTTTATGTCCAAACCAGCATTAATATTTGTTAGTAGGAACAAATATTTCTACAAAAAAAAAAAAAAAAAAAACAATTCACGTTTTTTTTTTTCTTACATTTGATACAGACATCTGTGGTTTAATATCGGCCGATCTGATACAGAGAAACAGTGCTGAATTGGCGGGGTTTGTTGTTTGTTTTTTTTATAAATACAGACATAAATGTACTGCTCTGCCAGTACAGCACACTTAAATTCACAAGCTTGGTCAAACACGTAAAAACATAACTTTAATTTGTTCACTTGATTAGTGCAATTAGGAGAAAAACAGCCAATCTAAAATATATAATAAACTGAAACTGACTGACAGCTAAAAAATAAACTAGATTTTTTTAGATTGTAGAGATCCGCCCCTCTGGATTGGGCACATTGTCACCAATACCCAATGTAGACTTTATTTTGATATCTGTATAGATACAGAGATTGATGTCTGATCGGTGCATTTCTACTTATAATCAGTACTTTTTAGTAAAGTTTAAGAAGTTCACAGCTTTTATTTTGTCATTTTCTTTAGCCTTGTTAATCGATGAAACACAAAGTACATGAAGACAAAGTTAGCTGCAGTTTCTAGCTCTAAGTTGTCACGTTTTTCTCAGAAAGTTGGGGCTTTTTGTTTCTGTTGTACCCAGAAGCCTTTGAGGTTTGAGCAGAAAAACAACAGTAACTTATTAAAATATCTGCTCAAGCGTTGGCTTTCTGTTAGTTTTGCGTCTTTCTGTCAACGGCAATGCCCTTGATGTTGTTTCACGATCGTCCTTTCAGAGGGTCAAAGGAGGAATGTAATGGCCTGAGGGGGTTCCCCCCACTACAACCTGCCCCTGCCAGGTCCAACCCATCTCACCTGTCTGCTCGGTCACTGCAACCCTCTGCTGTGATGGGAGACGGACTGGAGGCGGGCAGCAGCCAGCACCTCCCTCCCGCCACGGCGCCTCTCCCCTTCAACCCCCCTCCTCCGGAAACATGGAACCCCTCCAGACCCAAACGACAGACCAACCAGCTACAGGTAGCTTCACTTCAGCTCGTCCTCCTGTCCTCATTAGCCTGCGGTTCCCCTCGAACCAATAATTTTTCTTTTTGTTTTGTCTGTGCTCTTTTCAGTACCTGCTTAAAGTGGTGTTGAAGACATTATGGAAACACCAGTTTGCATGGCCCTTCCAAGCACCTGTAGATGCAGTGAAACTTAATTTGCCTGTGAGTCGTGTTTTCTTTATTTTTTACATACCTGAAGTCGCAACGTATGGCCGGTGTTGCCACAGAAGCTGCTGTCAATTTATTTCACATGCGAACGCCACACAGTCGTGCAAATAGATGCCTTCCACTCGTAAACACATCAGAATTGAAAGATTAAAGGAAATAAATACTTAAAAAATTAGCTGAAAACAGACTAGTTTGTTGGTATAAATATCACTACTTTAATCTTGTTTTTGTTCCTGTTGTAGTTGGATCTTTATATTGAATTAATAATTGCGAAAATATATAGTGGGAGCTTTTAGTCAGTTTATGAATGAGGCAATGTGGACTCAGTTTTATCATATTTTGAGGGTCTTGTTTGATAACAAAAGTAGCTATAAGAAGTAGCTATAAGTAGGTTACTGTATTGCTGCTACAGCAATTATAACTCCATGAACACAAATACTGCTCTGGAAAAACATTCCTGTTTGAAAAATGCTTCTTTAGGACACCAACCAGCATTAAAAAATATGATTTGTACCATTAAACTGCACAAAGTAACTGCATTTAATCATATTTTCAAATGTATTGCTACTCGTACTGAACATACAGTGGAGAAAATAGTATCAGTAACAATCCTGATAATATGGACAGTTTTTAATTGTGATTTTATTTGGAATTCATCAGTCCACTTTACACAGAGTTGTCAATTTCTTTACATTTCTTCTGGTTTTTCCCCCCAAAGGACTACTACAAGATAATAAGGAGTCCTATGGACATGGGCACCATAAAGAAACGTCTGGAGAATAACTACTACTGGAATGCCCAGGAGTGTATCCACGACTTCAATACAATGTTCACAAACTGCTACATCTACAACAAGGTCAGCCGAGGTCACACGCTGAAATCACACTTAACCTTCACGAGCGACACATTGTGTTCTTCTTTTACAACATTACAGAAAAACAGGGCTTTAGTTCATCTGTTATGAGCAAAGTTTTTTAAAAAAATTTAAGAGTAATTTTTTGTACCACACAATATCTTGCAAAATTGTTCCATTTTTAAACTTCTTGTCATGTCGCAACCTCAAATCTCAATGCATGTGTTTGGATTTTATTGTAAAAGCGTGCTTTCAGTCTGAAATGCGGTCGGGTTTTCATATTGTCTCTCACTCCTTCAGCCTGGGGATGATATCGTCCTTATGGCAGAGGCTTTGGAAAAGCTCTTCCTGCAGAAGATCACAGAGATGCCGCAGGAAGAGGCGGAGATCCCCGTGGTCACTACGGGTCGTCGTGTAGGCAGGCGAGAGCCCTGTGAGTAAATTTACCTTCAAATACACGTTTAATCACGAACATCTGGTTTCTGGCAGATGTAATGTGGAAAGTAGCTGAGAAGACTTGTTTTCATTGATGTGTAAATGGTGCTAACGTGACTCATTGAGTTTGTCAGGACACCTACAGGCTTAAACTTGTCTTTGTGGAACACAATTCTAATGGTTAAATCAGGTTTTGTTCATTTGATGCGCTTCAGGTGTGTAATTTCCTGCTATTTGAAATGATGTCATGTGTCTTACATCTGAAGTTTGTCTTGAATGTTATTTAAAGCGGCATTAAAAAGTCTTGAATTTAACTTGCCTTAAGCTGTAGGAACCCTGAAAACGGCTCTCCGTGGTGTTTCTCTTCCCTCTTGTCCTCACATATCCATTCTTCGTTGCAGCTCTAATGACCATGTCGGATTCAGGCCAAGAGTCATCCTCTCCATCAACGACCCCGCATACGAGAGGCTTTTCATCGCCCCCAACCACTCCACACACCCGTGGTACACCAACCCTCCCCTTAACCCAACCTTTACCTCAGCCTCTCATCCAGCCCATAACACAGCAAATAACCCAGCCCATAACCCAGCCCATAACCCAGCCCATAACCCAGCCAATAACCCAGCCCATAACCCAGCCCATAACCCAGCCCTTAATCCAGCCCTTAATCCATTCCTTATCTCAATCATTACCCCAAACTGCACCACAGGCTTTAGCCCAGCCTTTAGTCCTCTCGCAAATCCAGACACAACCCCCACGGGTGCCTCCTACACCCACAAACCACGCTTCACATCTTGGACCCCAGTTCGCCCTCTCCACCCCAGACATCCTAGCCCAAGGCATGACGTCTGTCCCCCCTCCAGCTATGACGCACCCAGGCCTCCATCCTCCGCCGGTGCTGCAGAGCTCCCCGGCCCTCATCAAGGTAACCAATGACTCCACGTTTTGTTGTGTTACACGCATCTAAATATTTCTGTTCTGATGGAAAATCCCAACTCCACGTCAACAGCAAAAGAAAAGCCAGAAGAGGAAAGCAGACACCACCACCCCCACCGCCAACGACCAGCTGAGCGAGTCGCCCCCGGTGTCCGACGTGACCCGGCCTCGCCGAGACAGCGCCCGGCCGACAAAGCAGCCCAAACGGGACTCGTTGCAGCCGGACTCCCAGCATCACATGGGAGGAGGCCTGGAGATGGGCGGCACGGCGACGTCCAAGCGCCAGGATCAGCTCCGCTTCTGCGCACGACTCGTTAGAGAGATGCTGTCCAAGAAGCACATGGCGTACGCCTGGCCTTTTCACAAACCCGTTGACGCCAAAGCTCTGGGCCTGCACGACTACCACGACATCATCAAGCACCCGATGGACCTCAGCACCATCAAGGTGACCTCTAGCGTTACTTCTGCAGTAACTTTTTGGGATTGCGTGAATGACTTTATATGTGCAGTATAATCCAGATATTTACATACTGTATAAAAAGACATTACCATCAGCTGTGTTTCCATTACAAATGTGTGCCCAATTTTGTCAATATTTTGCTAATGTTGCAAACTAATTAATCACGTCATCAGACTCTTACCACTTCCTGCCGTCTTCTTTTTTGTTTCCTCCAGTAGCAACATCTGGTTGTTGATCACATGACTCGTGTGATGTGAAAAATTGTAGCGCAAAAAAGTTTTTCTCAAAAAAGTTTTTTCTAAATTGTCGTGTTTCCATCAAGCTAATTTCTTCGCTCAACAATATAGTGAATGGAAACACAGTTAGTGATGTCAAGACTTTGGAACTTTCTGATTGGTTGATTCTATTGGTGGGACTCAATTAAAGATTTTAAGTGAATCACAGGATTTGTAGTTAATCTCATTTTAATCCAAAATTATTATCTTGAAAAAGGACTGAATAATTTGAGTTTGTATAAATAATTTCACAGTTGTAAATGACCTAAAACGGGAAAATTTGATAGATTTAATGTTAGACTGTGTGAATTTCTGTTGACTCATAATCTAAGAGGTCTTCATTCATTTGAGTCAAATAATATTTTAAACGTTTTATCATTTCAAATGTTTTTGTCTCCGTCAGAAAAAGCTGGATAACAGGCAGTACAGAGACGCTGAAGAGTTCGCTGCAGACGTCCGGCTGATGTTCTCCAACTGTTACAAGTACAATCCTCCAGATCACGACGTTGTTTCCATGGCGCGTAAATTACAGGTAAATACAGCAGCGTGCAGGGGAGCGAAAAAAAATCAGGCGTTACGAATTTATTCATTTGATTTTAAAAAATTTAAAAAAAAGACTCCAGACAAACACAACTTATGATATGCTGCTATTTGGGATTTTACAGGGAAAAATGTTCTGTTCGCATTATTTCTGGTGGGATCATCACCAATGGTTACTTTCAAAACGGTAACCCGTTGGCTCATTTCTAAAATAATTAAGGTATTCTACACGTTTGTTTTTTCCTGTTTAAAACCGCTTTTTATTTCAATCTACTTTTTACAAAGTGAATTCATTTTTCTATCCCACAAGATAAAATGTACACAAAACTTTACTCTTCAAAAAGTGAATTATATGTGAAAAGCACCATTGCAGCTTGACATAAATAAATCTGTGCATTTCAATGTAATATGTATTTAAAAATTATGGGGCTTAACTGGGAATAAACAAGTAATAAGTCTCGGGTTGGAGTGCAACGCCAAAGAATAGAAATATACATATTTATTAGGAATATGTATTATTTTATCATGCTGTTTGTGGAAATTGTATGACATGCACATTATCTACACTAATAAATGTTATCAAAGTGAGACGTAGGCGTTTTTTTTTTTCTCCGTGCATGAATACACAAACCAACACAATAACAGGAAACTATAGCAGACGATCGGTCAAACTTGAAATTTAAACACTTTCAAGAGACAAATGACTCATGTTGTTTTTTTTCTCTTTCACCTGCACTATGCTGAAGTTCACGTTTAAAAAAAAATGTTTGAACTTCAAACCATTAAACATTAAAATGGTTTTATTCCTCATCGGATGGTAATTAGATGCTCCATGTTTGTTTTGATGAAGTTGCCCAGAAAGGGAACACACTCTCTCCACACAGCACTTTGTAGAGACCTACCTCAACCTACGTTAAACATAAAAGAAGAAATATAAAAATATTATATATATATATGAGTTTCCTGTCACTGGTCAGCCCACTCAAGCTGAAAATCCTCTGATTTGCAACCCAGTTTCCCCGTTCATCTTTACTTGCGCTGCAATGACTTCACCTCATTTCTTCCTCTCATTTCTTCGCTGGGTTTCATTCAAGAATTTCTGCATCGATGTTTGTGGAAGCTTTCATTTTTTTGTGTGTTGTTTTTAATGAATCCATAACATGTTAGTTCAAAGCGCAATGCAGCAGCAATCTGATGCAATCTGAGGCGTTAACGCCACCTAGTGGAAGCAAGCAGGATGGCCACAGGACAAAACAAGACGGTTATTTATAAGAACATTTAATGTTTCAATTTAGTTTTACTTTCTTTACAGATCTGTACCGATCCACTTTTTTAAACTTCCAATACCGATAACTGAGGTTTAGTATCAATCAGTCTGACAAATGCTGAATTTACTTAAATTAAAATAAAATTAAAAAGAAAGCATTACAAAGTTATTTATTAACTCTCCATCAGCACACCAATAGCTTCACAAACTTGGTCAAACATGTAATAATGACACAACTTTAATTTGTTTAGTCAGTGCAAATAGGAGTAAAGAGCCCATGTAAAATAAATAATACAGAAACTTAAAATGGTCAAACGTGTAAAAATAAACTGCAACAAACCTTCATTCAAATGGTTCAAAACGTGCAATTACAAAATCTAATGTAAATAATAAACGTGACGCATAGAGTTAGGCTGAATAGTTCAGGCACATTGTCACCAAGATCTAGAATTTATTTCAATTTCTGGATCAATACAGTTGATAGAAACTGGATCAGTATGAGATCGTTGCATCTCTCCTGATCTGACATCCAGAAATTATGTTAACACTTCAGGATTCAAAATAAGCAAACCATCCTCAGTCCGTCTGAGACAAATTGTCTCGAAGTGAGAAACTTTTTGACCTGAGAGTTTCTGCTGCTGTCCTCCACCAACAGGACGTGTTTGAGATGCGCTTCGCCAAAATGCCAGACGAGTCCGAAGGCCCCACCCCGGTCTCCACTCCGTCGTCGGCCCTCCTCTCCATCCCCACCACTCGACAAGCCCCTCCTCCGTCAGCTGCGTCGGAAGACAACAGCTCGAGTTCCTCCGACACCGAGTCGTCCAGAGGAGACTCGGAACAGGAACGACAACAGCGACTGGCCGAGCTACAGGAGCAGGTCGGAGCGATGCTGTCCAAGCATTTTGCAACCTTTGTCTTTTTTGGTTGTTGTTTTTTGACATTGAAATGTCAAAACTATTTATGATAGTTCATGATTATTTATGATTAACTACTTAAGCCTGTTGCAACAATCAGTCACATAATACATTAATATGGGCTCAAATTTGATTTTGATGATCAATGTCTGAATTATGTTTGCTTAGACTTCTTACTTCCTTTTATTTATTTCTGCTTTATTTATTGTGTTTTCCAAAATATTTCTGAATATTTTGGATTTTTAAAATAAACTGAGTTCCAGGGTTGAGTGTCAAAACAGCAACGCAATTGCAGTAGTTTATTTATTACCCAGTTAGATTTATTTCAATAGGTTCTGATAAAGTTATTTAAAGAAACTACATATTTTTTCTTGTATGTTTCAGATTGAATATATTTGTCTGGAGTTAGTGTGTACTTTCTGCAACGCTAGGAAATTGTTCACTCTTATTTTAGTTGGGTTTTCAGCAAAAATCACTGGTTTTATTCATTTCCAAGTGAAAATCCAAGACTTTTTATATTTTTCAAAACAATTTTTCTTTTTTCTTTTCTGGGTCAGGCAGTGAAAATTTCACCCTAACATTTGCTCTATGTTTCTATGTGCATCGACCGTCTGATACCAACAGTTCACAACAAATGTCATCATAAAAAAAGAAGTCAGTTGAATTCAGTCTTTGGGTTAGAGAATGGAGGGTGGCTTTACACAACCACGGAGGGGATTATTCACGTCTTGTGGTGTTTTTTGACCTAATCTGTGTGTTTTTGAACCTCCTAGCTCAAAGCTGTTCATGAGCAGCTGGCGGCGCTCTCCCAGCCACCGACCAGCAAGCCCAAGAAGAAAGAGAGAGACAAGAAGGAGAAGAAGAAGGAAAAGCATAAAAAGAAGCAAGAAGCTGAGGAACCGGCAGAAACCTCTCCTCCCCCGATGCTTCAGACTTCGAAGAAAAGCAAGAGTAAAGATCCCGTCACAATAAAGGAGAAGAAGAAGAAGCCCAGGTACGTTTTCTTTTGCAGAATTCAGTCACGATGTCTCTGCTTGAAGTCGGACTAAATCAATTATTTGTTTGTCCATCGCAGTAAGAAGGAGGACGTCAAAAACAGCCGGCCAGCTCCGGCCCCTCCGTCGGGACCCATCGCTCTTCTGCCTTCGGCTTCTCTGGAAGCGGAGGACGACATCGGTGTGTTTAATGAGGCGAAGCATGACTGCTTTTGGAAACATTCAGAATATGACTTCATAGAAATATATACATTTCTAGACTCATTTCTGTCCCATTGTTCCATCCAGTTTTATGTAACAAGCTTGTATAAATTTATATCTAAAAATTTTTTTTATATTTTAAAGTTAACATCAAATATATGAAATCTTATTTGTGGTTAATCAAAGACCCAGTGTAAACCTCTGTAATGTTTTTTTTTTCTTCTTCTTCTTCAGATCTTGGCTCTTGCAAGCCGATGTCGTACGAGGAGAAGCGCCAGCTGAGCCTGGACATCAACAAACTGCCCGGCGACAAGCTGGGCCGAGTCGTGCACATAATCCAGACGAGAGAGCCGTCGCTGAAAAACTCGAACCCCGATGAGATCGAGATCGACTTTGAGACCCTGAAGCCGTCTACGCTGAGGGAGCTGGAGAAATACGTTTCTAGCTGCCTCAAGAAGAAGAAAAAACCTTCAGGTGGGTTTTGGTTGAAAAAGATGGACATCAGAAACCCGTTTTGTGGGCACATTTAGCATCAACTTTGTTGTCAAGAATTTGTCTGGGTGACACGTTTTAATAAAAATAAATATTTGATTTCCTTTTCTTTTATTTGAATCAGGGTTTTTTGATTTCACTTTCTTAAAAAATTACAAATGACAGAACATATTCTCAAAAAACTGGCTTTTGTTTCTTTCAGTCATCTTTTCTGTCTGTTCAAAGTCCAAATAATTAGAAATTTCAAAACAAGCTTGTCAAACAAGATGGCGGCCCACAATGTGCTGACATCACTCAGAATTATAGGAACTCAATGAATGCAGAGGTGAAAAACAGCCACGATTTTCTAAAATTAAATCTTCAAAAACAAAAATGAATTGATCAAATTGATTATCGAGTGGCTTACAGTCTTTTGCCAACAACAAAACCGAAATCTTACAACAGCTAAAATCTGACGCCTCGCCATTTTTGTTTACATTTTGTGAGGAAATAAGTTGCGCTCAGTGTCGCTTCCCTCAGCGGTTCTCGGCACAGCGCCTCCAGCGGGGAGGAGGGGAATTGGTTTTTCCAAACGATTTGGTTTGTTTGGCTCAGAACAGTGTTCACTTTACATTTATTGATTAAAACTGAACCGTCTGATCGACTGATTCAAAATCTACAATACTTGCACCGCTGAATTCCAAATTGTTTTGTTCTGTACGGATTATTTAAACACAGTTCAATTTAGGATTTGTTGTGTTTATGCCAATCTAATATGGATATTAACTAATTCTCTTGTTTTGCTGAAGTTGTAAAAGTTTGATGGATTTTGTTGCAGTCGAGAAGTCTTTGGAAATGACCAAGATAAAGACAGGATCTTCATCTTCAGGCAGCAGTGACTCCTCAGACAGCGAGGACTCTGAGAATGGTAAGGTCTTGACTTCACTTTTGTGTTTTTACTGATTGGCACCTCGATTATTCAGCCTGTAAGTGTTTCGTCCTCCCTTGAATCTCATCCATCTTGTGTCTACAGGGCTGGTTCCCAAGCAACAGAAGAAGACGTTACCCAACAAGGACTCCAAGAGAGGGAACCACCAGCCACTTCCTTCTCCTCCTCTTCCTCCCAGTGGGATGCTCCCAGTTGCCCCCGCGCCTCAAACCCAATCCCAGCTGTTCCAGTCCAAGCCCCCGTTTGTATCCGCTCCCTCTGTCCCGCCACTGGACTCGTCTCAGCTGCTGTCCTCGGGTTTCGACCCTCTGGCACATTTCATGAGTTCCCACCTGACCGAGTCAAACGCGGAGTCCGGCGCCGCCGTTACCACCGCCGAGGCGGCTTTACCCCCGGGCCTGCTGAATGCCAACGCACCCCTCAACCAGACGCCGACCGATACGCATCCCTTCCTGAACCAGCATCCCATCGTTCCTTCCCCAGGTTGGTATTTCAAAGCATATCCACATAGTAGCCTAAATTCTTCTTTAAAGGGGATGTTTTATGAAAACTCAACATTGTTGAGCTTTGCATCATGTTATAATGTCATTCAATCATTGAAAACGTGACTGGAAGGTTGCCTTGATTCATTCATGCAATGCAATATGTTTCTCCGTATCGTCCGGTCTCAGTCTAAACCCTAATTTCCACACATTGCTACGTTTGTAATAGAATACGTCTTGATAGATTGTTGGATTACGCTTTAAAGGTTGTCCCCTCCTTCTTTGTCTTCCATGTTTGCAGCCGTCCACATCGCTCTCCCCCAGCAACCATCCAGACCCAGCAACCGCGCTGCGCCTCTTCCGCCCAAACCGCCGCAGCCTCCTCCATCCTTGCTGCCTACCCTGCCTCCTCCGCCACCCTCCGCCCCCGCCCAGCTCCAACCCACACTTCCCTTAAGCCTCCCGCAGCCGGTCCTCCGCGCACGCGTCCCGTCGCCACCGTCGCACGGCATCCTGGGTACCCTCTCGGCTCAACCTCCTCAGGCGTTGCTGGAGGACGACGAAGAGCCCGTGCCGAACAGCTCCGAGACGCCGCCGCCCCTCAGCCAGGTTCACAACCTGCTGCAGTCGCTGCAGCCCCGGTCCAGCATGCCGCTGCAGCCGCTGCACACACACTTGCCCGGGCAGGCCGCTTCCCAGCTTCTGCAGTCGATACACACGCAGGGCTTGGCGGCGGCACCGCCCGCCCAGACTCAGAGACACGTTCCAGCTCACGTTCCCCAGCTGTTCCCAAATTCCCATACGCCGGCATCCCAGCAGCTGAAGGGCGCCGTCCTGCAGCAGAAGGTCCAGCAGCTCCAGCATCAACAGCAGCCGTCCCCACACAACACAGCAGAGGCCTTCTCAACTAAAGGTACCACATTGAAACTTTGTTGTTTTATTTTGTTAAGCCTTTATTTAACCAGGTAAGTTGATTGAGAACAAATTCTCACTTTCAGCAGCCTCCTGCTCAGAGAACATTGAAGGGGGAGCATTTTTGAGCTTATGGTATTATTCTCTCATCAAAAACATACCTGGAGTGCTGCTTTCATTCTTTCATGCAAGTTAGAGAAATCCTTTAATTCTTTAAAGAGAAATTCATGGCAACCGTTCAGCTGTTCAAAACACCGGGGTGGACCTAGCTCCGCCTTTGAGGACGAAGCTCCTCCTCAGAGCTGCAGTTTCCAGGCTTCCGCCTGGAAACAACTCCACCACTCTGCTCCTTCAGACTAGCCAGCAGCAATTAGCAAACACCTGTTGGAACTGCGTATGTACTGGCCTACAAACTATTTCTCGGTGAAATGATGGTAAAAAGTTGCGGAAGGGGTAATAGAGGGGCCAGGTTGGAGACTTCCTAAAGGTGAAGTTTCTTAAAGAGATAGACACCCAATTTCAAGGTGTTTAATTTCAAAGTGACATTTCTTTTCATTAATATTTTATACATCTCTATCCATCTCTCTCTCTCTCTTTATATATATATATATATATATATATAATATATATATATATATATATATATATATATATATATTCAAAGGTCAATATTGAAGTTATCATCCTGAGCTTTAATGTTCTTTGCAAGTTGTTTGATTCCTTCTTACATGTTTTCTTTTTCTGACATTTTATATGGCTGAAGTTTCATTTTATTTTAGTTTAGCTTGTTGAAACAGCTGAAAACTACCAGCGTAGTGACAGAGAACAGATTGGAGATAAGTTGAAAAGTTCCACAGCTCTTAACAGCATCAGGACCTTAATTCTAATATGATACAGTTGTTTGGATTTTTACATTTAGTATCTATATATTTATTTTTTGGGTTTTTCCTGTTTGTTTGTTTTTTGATAAAGTTTAGGGTAAATGTTGCCCTGAGGTAATAACTATGCTTTGAAAGGCAGTTGTCATTCCGGTCTGCATCCACACGGTGGTGCTAGAGAGCTCAGCTGTAGATAAATGAACTGTTTGTTCCCTGTGTTTAGGCTGCCTGCGGGAAAGCCCCTCTCCTCTAATGATGCATTCGCCTCAAATGCCTCAGTTTCATCCAATGGGACAGCAGTCACCTTTACAGACCAAGAAGCACGTAAGCAAATCGGCAACGCTACATCACTGTGTCCATTTGCGGCGACGGCACTGAGTTCTGTGTGATTGGGCTTGGCGTAGGAGCAGAGGTCCAACCCGGTGGGCGTTAAAGAGGAGAAGCCTTCGCAGTCTCCAGGTCTGCCGTCATCACCGTTCAGCCCTGCGATCCGCCAAGACGCTCACAAACATGACAACAAACACAGTGAGTGAAACCTTTATTCTTCGCTAAGGAAGGATAAAACATCTTTTCTGTAAGATTGGTCAAATCCAGAGAAAATTTTAAATGTTTAAGTTTTATAGATTTCACAATCAGGCAGATCTGAGTCCAAACAATTTTAAAAAAAGTGCAACATCCCTTTAGTACACAAATCTGGAGTAGGCCTGAAACGACTGAACAGATTAATCGACTAATTCAGGAATTGATTAACTAATGTCTGGATTATACAGACTAAAAAAAATAAAGTTGCTGTAAAAGCAACATGGAGCATTAATTGAGCCAAAATTGTACAAATCATATGCACATTTTTCTTTTAAGATGTTAAAATTCTTCATCTGTAAATGTATTTTCCCCAAAACTCCCTCAAAGCTCCTTGAGTGGCAGAGTTTCACGTTCCTCTGGTTCAAATTCAAATTGTTTAGGCAATAAAATGCTGATTTTTTTTTTATTATTTAAAAAGGGAAGTGAATTGTTTGCATATTTGAATGTATTTATAATATTGTTAAAAAAGTCAGCCTATGCAGTTAAAGAAAAAAAAAGTGCGATTAGTTGATTGTCATCATAGAGTAATTGATTACAAAAAATTATTAGTTAGCTGCAGTCCGAATCTGAAGACGACATAAGCATTATTTTTCAAATTATAAAGGTGCTAAAATGTTAATAAAATGTAACTAAAACTCTTAAATATTTGGAAAAAATATTTGTTGTTGTTGAACATTTAGACATTAGTTTGCAAGAGCTGCCGTTGCTCTGGTTCCTCATTTCTCCCTGAATGTGTGTTCAGGTTTGGAGATGAAGCAGCTGGATGGTTCTCGTCCCGTTTCCCGCCTCCCCAGCTCCCCGTCGCCGCCCGCCTCCCAACCGGAGAACAAAATCAAGCAAGAACCCAAGACCCCCATCGCTCCCAAAAAGACACCGGTATAAAAATACAAAATGGATCAATAAAACCATCTCTATTTCCCATTAACCTCGCCATCTTTCTCTCCCAGGACGTGAAGCTAAAGAACATGAGCTCCTGGGCCAGCCTGGTTCATCGGCCCCAGTCTGCGCCGACGTCATCGCTGCGCTCGTCCAGCGACAGCTTCGAGCGCTACAAGCGCGTCGCCATGGAGAAGGAGGAGCGGGAGAGACAGCTGAAAGCCCAGGCGGAGCAGGCCAAGAGAGTGCAGGAGATGCTACGGTAAGCAGGAGGGACAGACGGCGATACGGATGAGCAAAACAACAAACAAACAAAAACAAAAAAAAAGCGCCCCCTGGGGGAAGTGAGGAAGTTTTTTACTTCTGAATTCCCTCGCAAAACTTTTGTGTTGCTTGGCTTGATTTTGCATCATTTTGAAAAGGCCTACATCAGCGTCATAACATGAATACTTACCGCTGCTTCCTGTTTCCGTGTCACAGCCGCGACGACGACGACACAACGGAGCACAGTCGCCGAGGGAGACAGTCGCCCCTCGCTCCGACCCCCCCACCCGTCTCCTCTCCGCCCACTCACTCCCCTCAGCCGCCCCCGGCTCCCGCCAAACAACAAGCTCCGCCCCCTCCGCCCGCCGCAGCTGCAGCAGCACACAGCGCTCTGGACCAGCAGAGGGACCGGGAGCGCCTCCGCGAACGGGACCGGCGCTTCAGAGAGGCCGTACGCACGTTTGCTTCCTGGTTTTTTTGTTTGTTTGTTTGTTTGTTTGTTTCTCAAAATTTTTTCTTTCATTTGCGTTTTCGGTTTTCTCCGCAGATGGCGGACAACATCGACATCAATTTCCAGAGCGACCTGATGGCGATTTTTGAGGAGAGTCTTTTCTGAAGAGGGGAAAAAAAAAAAGAAAAAGAAAAAAAAAGAGCAGGAGACGAGGACTTGATCAGTTACAACGTTTGCAAATGTACAAGCGTCACGAGAAACAAGAGCTCTGAGATACATGGTTGCCGCCGCCACAGACCCACATCACCGACCGGCCCTAGCAGAAACCTCTCCGCCCCGTTAGCTTGTTGTGACCCGGGTTTCCTGCTCGAAGTTCATTGGTTACTTATTGATCTCCAAGGACGACGACGGGATCAGCAGCCTGAAAATTCTAGGAGAGAATCGAAATTGAATCTCCGTCATTATGTTAAATTATAAACTGGAGCAATTTTTTTTTGTCTTTTTTTTTTTCATTTTTCTTTTTTGGGATTTCTGGGGGACTTTAGCTACCAGGAGAACAACTGAAACCGCCTGCTTTGTTTGTGCTTTTCTCCTCTGCCCTCACTTTCACTGGGGGAATCTGGACTCTTGTGGTTAAGTTTGTACGGTTTTCGTCAGCTGTCATTTAGAAGCTTATTGTTTTCTCAGGATACAGTGTGTTTTGGGTTTTTTTGTTTGTTTGTTTGTTTTTGTTGTTTTTGTTTTTTATAAGACCTCCTTTCACCTTTCACTTCCCCCTCTGCAACAATCAGGAGTGACCACGGAAGAAGCAACCATGTTTCAAAAGTTTTCAAAGTGCGTCCCTTGCCTTAGCGCTCCGGCCTGTAAACTAATCACGCCCTACAAATTATACATATTATATATATATACATATATATATATAAAAATAGATACACAAATATATATATTATATATGACAAAGAAAAATAAGTCATTGAAGAATATGAGAGGGATATCGTTTGTGGAGAGCAAAGCTCGTGTCTGTGTTCATCTCTGAGCTATGGTTTTGATTTTGTAGACTTTACTGTAAAGAAGAAAAACGTAAAAAAAAAAAGAAAAAAAGCAACATTTTTTATGATTCTATTGAGAGGATTGTTTCGTCTGTCTTATTCTCACATTTTCGGTTTTTGTTTTTGTGGTTTTTGTTTTTCTCTTAACTCTATGCCAAAACAAATCCATTGAGTGCTGATAGTTGTTTTAATTTTTTTTTTTGTTTTGTTGTTTTTTGTTTGTTTTTTTTACATGTAAATTGCATTGTCTCTTCACTTTATATTACAGACTGTCATCATTGCTATTTAAATTTTAGCTTCCCCTCCCTCCCCTTCATCTTCCCAGCCTTTTAAATCGAAAGTTATGCAACAGCTTTTCTCTTTCTTCAAAGGAGTTTTACGGGCCTACGTCCCGTCATTTTGTACTTACTGGATAAGTCTGCGCTTAAGTGTTTTAGTCTGTTTTTATTTTATTTTTATATACATTTCTTTCATTATTGTTTTTTTTTTTATTCTTCCCTTCATGTGGATATTTTTAGTCGGTCTTGCCCATCTCGCCTGCCACCATCAGCACAGTTTTAATAGTCTCTGTTGGACTGCTCTTCGTTTTGTCCTTCATCACTCTTGCGTCGCCGTCCGCGGCCACAGCGTTTTGGATTTTGTGTGCCATTGTGTTGATCTGGAAGCGGGAGCTTTTCCCGCTTCCTTGAGGTTTGGCTCGGAGATCCAGGAGTGTTTTCTGCTCTGTCATTTTCTGTATTTTTTTTTCTTCTCATCTTCAAGGTGTCCTGTTTCTCCTTTGCTGTTTTTTGTTTGTTTTTTGTTTTCTTCTTCTTCTTCTTTGATTTATTCTACCCAGAACAATGTGTTGGTGAGTGAGGCATTGAGGTCAATAGATTCATCTTCATATAATGGAGTACAACATCTTTGTTTTTGTTTTTTTGTTTGTTTTATTTTTTTTTAAAGAAAAGTATTAAAATATTTAAAAACCTTACCCTGATCCTCACCCATTTTTCTTCAGAGTCGACCTTTATAGTCACCGAACAGACGCACGACAGAATTTGTTTCGGTAACACACGTGTGACTCGCAAGATGTGGGCGAGAAAGACGGTCGGTCATTAAATCCGTTTATTGAAAATGTCGTTTTCTGCTCTTGAGAAACATCCGTTTGCATTACACTTCATTAGTGAGTGTGATTTTATATCAGTAAACTGCACACAGTAACTGTTTCTCATCACATTTTCAAATTCACTGGTGTTTATTTCTGGAACAGAAAATGGCAGCATTGACAATACAGACAAAGTTGGATTTTTCTAATAAAGGGATTTTCATTGACCATCCAAATACTTATGAGACATTTATTGTGTCAAATGATACGATAAAAGCCCGCCCTAACTCCCAGTCGATTCATGTTGAAAGATCAATCACCGCTGACTTTTAAGAGGCAGGCAGGAATTTCTAAAATGAGTTAACAAGCCATCAGAATAAATGTTGATTTTGAACATAATGTTTCTGTTTGCTTGGCTCTCTGTACATCCCGCCCAGATTCAAATCCAGACACTTTCAAGAGTCCCACAAAGACGAAATGTGTCTTACGGCGGCACTAAAATCACGCTGAGTCAGCATCGGCTGGGGCAAGAAGAGGAAACATAGAAAGAAAAACGGGTAACATCAAAAATATAAAACACAGACGATCCGCTTGAATTAAACAAGAGTGGAGTAAGTGATTCAAAGAACAAGTCAATATATTCTGCGTAATTATACACTGAGCACAGTTAAGCTGACATGGTTGCTAAATAAGCACGTGTCTCACTTCATTCTGCAGCAGAATGAAGTGAGAAACCTCCCCGCACGCAAACGAAAAAGCTTGAGAAACTGTGGCTTTGACAGGTTTGGATTTCTGTAGAGCTGCTGCTAGAGGGAAGCCGGGGAGGATGTGGCGGGTCAGACCGATTACAGGTTGGTCAGAGGCAGCCAAGACACATTTTGCACCCAAGACGTCACCGCTGTGCCTCCTCTGCTAAAGAGAAGCACCTAATCAGGACAGAACGCAAACTCGGCAGAGACGTCGGCGGAGCTGAAGAGCAGCAAACTGCCAAGATGACCTGGAGGTTCACGGGGTGAGAGGGCGAGGAGAGTTCATCGTTAAGAGAAGGGCAACCGCAGACCTCTGCGCCGCTGCACATGAGAAACATCTTAAAGAGGCAGGATCAGGTGTTTTCCAGCCACATAGTGCGACTTTATTACACAAGCAAGTGACTGTGTTGTAAAAGTTATAAAAACTCTTTACATATCAAGTGTGACTTAGTCATATGGCGGGACTTTTTGTATTTTGGAGTGGGGGAAAATATTTTATCTGCATTCTCTGGGAGCTTGGTGGTCCCTAATTACACATCAGTCATAAAATCGGACCCTGATACCTCCTGGAATCAATTTTTTTTTTTTTTTTTTTTGCCTCAGGGAAACATTGTGCTACCAGGAATCTGGAACACCAAGGTTTTCCACAGTGATTATGAGAAATGAAATACAAATCAAACAAAAACTAAAAAAAAACAAAACTTTTTGTTGACAAAAATAAATCAGACATGGTTCCTTTAAATCACGCCCTCCTGCACTCCCCCCCCCCAAAAAAAAAGAAAATCAAATAAAGGAGCAATATGCCATGGAGGGTTGAAAGAAATGTAACGGCTTGGAAATGTACCTCTGTCCCTTTAAAAACTCCTGTTTCTTTTGACACTCTGCCTTCAGAAAGTCATCACAATATGGCTCCCTTACTAACACTTTAAGGTTGTCGTTAGCAGCGTTTCTCTGAGAAGGAGCTGATATAACGAGCCGGGCCGACCCGCCACCAGGTGTTTGCTAATTGCTGGTGGCTAGTCTGGAGGAGCTGAGTCAGAGGGAGCCACCAGGGAGCCGTGACCCGTAATGCAGAGTCTTGAAAGCCGCAGCTTGGAGGAGGAGGAGCTCCGTCCTCGAAGGCGGAGCTCCGTCCTCGAAGGCGGAGCTCCGTCCTCGAAGGCGGGGCTCCGTCCTCGAAGGCGGAGCTCCGTCCTCGAAGGCGGGGCTCCGTCCTTGAAGGCGGAGCTCCGTCCGCGGCTGAACGGTTGCCGTGGAGATTAAAGGATTTCTGGACCCTGCATGAAAGCGTCGAGGCATCGCTCCAGGAAGGTGTTTTGACGAGGGGATGACATTACGCCGAATGGAGTCGTAATGTCGCGAAGCTGAAAAGCTGAAAAAGAGTCAATTTTACACGACGCTGCCTCTTTAAAATAGACTTATGAGAGAAACGCCCAGATTTCCTGGTCGTCTGTGAAACGCAGAGGGTTCGTGGGATTATATTGGTCAGAATGAGAACTGCGGGTGAAAGCGAAACTTTTCAAAAACATTCAGGAGGCACCGGTGGGCACTGTGTGTGTGGTAGGAGGCTGCTGAAATGTGAAACTGTGCGGTCACATGACTCTCAGCCTTGACTGTCGCTGTCAAGTTTGTTTGTCTTCCACATAAACAGGAAACCCTATTTTTGCCCTGCTGCTTGTCTCTTCTTCTCTTGGTAATCTGAACTTTTTTATTCCTCCTCCTCCAGAAATGAAAGGCAGTAGCTACTTTTCAATCTTCATGCTCAAATCAGGTGAAAAACCCTTTTTGGGAGCTCAGCAGATCATTTGCAAGAGGAGGAAAGAAAAGCTGCCAGACTTGTCAAGAATTTAATTTTTTTTTAAAAAGTTTTTTTTTAAAAAGTGATTTCCTCAAAGCTTTACCAAGAAGAAACACATGCAACAAATCATGATCTTTTTTTTTTTTTTTTTTTTTTTTTTAGAAGAACCAAAATGTGGTTGTGTTACTATGGACTGAACCATTGCGTTGATGCGGTTTTTTGTTTTTGGTGTTGTTGGTTTTAGGTATCGAGTCAGCACAACAATTTGCATAATTGCGAAGTGAAAGAAAAAAAGTCGTACATGGTTATTTATTTAGATGAATCGCATCCATTTTTTATTCCGCCTCTCCGCTTTGCAACCCAAACTGAAACGCTCTCTGTCTCCAAACATCGGCGGCTTTCAGGTCTTGCCACAGTTTCAAGGTCGGTTTAGGTCGTTACTTGGACTGGGCCGTTGCTCCACTTGAACATGCTGCCACATATTCATGGCTGCGCAAACGTCGCACTACTTTGTGTTTGAATCTCGGGGAAAAGGGAGAGGATTAGGGCCACAGAAATAAATATTCTGACTCTGTTCTTAGAATTTTGACTTTTTTTCATAATTTTGACTTTTTTCCCAGAATTTTGACTTTTTTCTCAGAATTCTCACAAATTATCTGAGACCAAAGTCTGAATTATGAAAAAAAAAGTCAGAATTCTTCTATTTTTTTCAGTGACCTAATCTCCTTCCGTACCAATAACATAAAGGCAGGAAGGTGACATGTTCTAAATTTAGACGGTGAGCAACTATTGCTACTGCTCTAAGTTTTTATTTTTTTTATTTTTCCTCACAGTAGTTGGAGAGCTTATCGATGTCGTGAAAATCTCCCTTTTCTCCAACACCAGCAGAGACTGATCCAGAAAACACGATCCGAGTTCGCTCACCTTCACAAATCCTCTGCTCGCCTCCTTAACGAAGCGAGCAGAGGTCACGCTGAGTTCCTGATCTCATTTAAAACATATTTCCTTTTCCTTCCACCCTGAGCAGGAAGGACGTGTCCGCCTGGAGAAGAATGGCGGAGGAGGCTCCTGCAGCGGAGCTGGGAGCGAACACATCTGGGGCCCCCAGCGTTCCCGCCAGCTGCGCTGAGGAGAGAAGGAGTTGGAGGGAGTGATGACTGGGACATCAAGGCCTCTTCCCGCCAGATGGCAATAAGCAACACCACGTGTGATTTATGGACACGCGATCCAATTCGAGCCTTTCGGCGCGTTGCGCAAGACCCCCCGTGCAATTGCGCGGAGAATAACACGCACTTGCGGCCGACGCACACTCTGCCGCTCACACGCAACTCGCCCCCACGCTGCGCGGCGCGCTGCACGTGGCCGCCTGTGGGAAGAGATCTGGCCTGCAGTTTGTGTTTCTGTCTCTGCTGCTGAAATCAGTCCGAAGCTCCTTTTCCCCCCCAACATCCCGAACAGTAGCAGGACTTTCCTTTTGTCTGTTCAGACCTTCTTGTTTGTTTGTTTTTTTTTTAGTAAGACATTTTTGTTTGTGTGTTTCACGTTTTATTATTTTTTCTTATTGCTGAATGTACAAATAGAGAAAGCTCTAAATGAAAAATGTGGGTGTGTCTCCAATATATATATATATATATATATATATATATATATATATATATATATATATATATATATATATATATATATATATATATATATATATATTTTTTTTTTTTTTTTTTTAAGAATTGATTTAATAATTCAATATGCAGTTGTACTTCTGGAAATCTTTCCATTTGCATTTCAGCTTCGGTTGCATCCCCCCCATTATATTTAGACCAGAGTGACACAATTATCAGAAGAATTTTGTTTGTCGCTCGACTCCAGCCCATGACTCATTCAGACATTTACAAGCAAACTCAAAGCTGTTGTTAACCACATGTGCAGAAACCCCCCAAAACATTCCTCTGTGTCAACAGGTTTAGAAATCATCTTAATTCAACCCAGTAGTTTGTTTCTGAAAGGAAACGAGACAAACGTCTCACAACGGATGATGGAACAATTTAACTGCATCAAGTTTTGAAATAAATAGTTTGCCAGCACTTAGTGGCATTTCACTGGTTTACCCCCAGTTGTTATGAAAACGCTGTATATGTTGAACATGACTTTCAACGCCTTGATCTTGACGCTCTGTCGCTTTAAGAAGCTCTGGCTTCTTAAAGAGAAGGCGTCATCACGTGATGACGTCATGGCGTCCACGTTCCTCCATCATGCCGCTTTGTGGTTTCCATGATGAGGGAATAACATTGTAAAACGATGTGAAGCTCAGAAAATGAATTTAATTTTCGTAACTTCAGGAGAAAATTAAACCTCGTAAAGACACTAAATATTCTTTCTGCTTCGTGCCTTGAAAAACGTTCATCTTTGTAAGTATTTGTGTGTTTGGACAACATGGACACCCACATTTTTTAGGCATGGGTTGTTGTTCTTTACCTTGGGTTGATAGAAAGTGGAGCGGTGTATATTTTTTGAGTGCAGCATCAATATATGTGCGTAAGGCTCGTGATGCATTTTCCGTCTGCTGCATTTCAGCACAAAAATGTTGCGAGTGCAGCATTGAAACGAGCGCCTTAGCTCTCCTGTTGCGTTTCAGTGACAAAAGTCCAATAAGAAGTTACCTTTTATTAGCTCTTTGCTGGCTGTCTCGCTATACTTTAATAGCGAGCCGCACGTATTCCACTTATTCTCCATGAAAAGTTTTATTCGCCAAGAAAACACTCACCTGGCTCCGTCCACTGGGCGTAACAAACCTCAGATATGACGTATTGTTCCCCCCGAAAAACTTGCTAAGCCCGGTGGTTGGGCTGCAGGGCAGTCACTCATCCAGGGGCCCGTCGCATTGCTGAGTTTAAAAAATGTTTACAAATTTGATGATATCCCTCGATAATTATGTGTTACTGAAAGATCGGCAGATTAATATCTGAAGACGCAGCTACAAAGAATAAAAAAAAAATGCAAACATTTTAAAAAGACTTAAAAAAAATAGCAACGCTCAGCCTGGTGGGGGCACAAATAAAACCTGGTGGCCCGCCAGGCTCATGATGCACTGGGGAAACCCTGGTTCTACCATAGTACTGCCTTCCTGATTCAACGGGTTGAATTCAACTTTTTGGCAACAAAAGTTTTATTTGTCTCAGTCTTTTAAAACAACCCATCGCCGTTCATTGTTTCATTCACTCGAGATGCATAAGTCACACATTTTATCAGAACATCTGTCTTGACCTGGATGGCGGCTCCATTTCCAGGGCCTCGAGTTCAAAGCCATCGATTCAATGTCTCAAAGAGTTGCTGTAATCTCTTTTTCTGCGTAGTAAACCATTTCCCAGTGGATTGTGTCCTATTTTTAAGACAACACTCTGCACTCCAGACGTCGCTTGACAGTAACTCGTTTGAAAAACTCTTGGAAAATATGACTCTAGGCAGTAGGAGATATAACTATAAATGTTAAATTCAATAGCAAACTGCTCTGACCAACCGTTAACCTTGGCTGTTGTCATTTAATGCTCAAATACAGGACATTTGCTTTGCCCCGTTGTGTCAAACAGGCATCGGAGGGACACGAATAGGACGTCTTTATCATCACAACGAGCAGAACCGTTGCCTTCGAGGCAGCTGTCAGCAACCCTGAGAGGAAATAAGGGGTTGAAGGCACAAAACGACAAATCACATTCTATAAATGTTCAAGCTCTAAGTGGATGTCACCTGTCTGATGAGGAAATGAGGTTGAACTGACACTAGAGACAGACTCCTGTCTGCAGAATACATCATACGGCTGCAAACAGGACAAGGGTATCAGCACGTGTTGGGGTTTTTTGTTGTTGTTGTTTGTTTGTTTTCCTATTGTCTCTCTGTCTCTGTGTGCAGAGCACAGATGATGTTGTTTTCCCTCTTATCTCTGTCCTTCCTTCCCTCCACTCCTTTTCATTACGGCTCACTCATTTGCAGAGAGGATTGACCCTGGTCTTCCATAAAGTTTATTGCTGTGATGCGGAGCGCAAACAGTTTCTGAACGACGAGAGAAAACAGGACATGTGATGATAACGTTTGCTGCCGTTCACGTGTCAAACGTCTGAATCAAAGAGGAGCCGGGCCGTCATCTGTTGCTGGACGCCGGTGAATCGTCGTAATGATTGCTGGGTATGTTCCAGGTAGATGATGAAGATCATCAAAATGGTAACCAAATGGTGGCAAATGAAACTCAGGTGAGAATTTTTTCAGATTTTTTTACTTTTTAAACGTCATAATAAAAAACTGACTGAAGCGATGCAGCATGACTCAAATAGCCTCACGGACAAAAGCTGCGTTCAACAACAACGTTTGTGAACCAAAATGCGGACTGGCAAACTTGGAATAAATTGCTTTGCTCGAGGCCACATCCACAAGCCAGATGTGTCTAACCAGATGCTCAGCAGCAAAGGGGCACCACAGGGCTCTGTACTCTTACTATTCTTTTCCAGTTTCAACATCTCTGACGGCTGGAACAAAAGAGACTCCTGTCATTTGGGTAAATACTCAGATGACTCAGCAGTTGTCGGGCACATCAGAGGTTGTCACGAAGCTGATTACTGAGAACTTTGTGGGACTGTGACCCAGCAACAGTGTCTTTGGTCAAGGGCTTCTGCACATCCGATGCTACAGGTCGGTTGGTTAGTGGCTGCATACTCTGCCGCCTCGTCCTAAAAGACAGAAGTGCTGAAGACCAGTGGTGCTCAGGCTGTGGGCCGTCTCCTCACAAGGGAAATGTTGACTGGACACCATTTACATATGATTTGTGTGTAGTTTACACGTGGTTTCCTGTCGCAGACATGTGAGGCCTGCGGAGATCTGGTGTCCAAGGAAAGGCGGTATGAGTCGTAAATCCTTGCGTCTGGAACCAAGCAGCAGACGATCAGGCCGTGCTGCTCTGTGAAGGATCAGTGCAGTATTTTGACCTTTGTTTTTTTTTTTCTAGATTTTTCATTTTGTGCCATATAGGGAGGTAAAGCAAGTGGGCTCTTTGTGAAATATGTGTGGGTTGCGTTTGCCCTGCTTGTTCAAGTGAATCGCTGTGACATTCCTCTGCTTCCTTGGCCGACCTTTATCACTAATAATCCACCTCCCACTTTCATCCTTAAATTCCTCGCTTTTCCTCTTCACGTCGCTCACTCCTCAGCGCGTCTCTGATTGGCTCGTCCATCCCGTCGTCACTCCACAGGGGGGGAGCAGAGGGGAGGGAAGGGGGGCGACAGAGGCAGGCGGATATGGAGCTCTCAGATTGGCAGAGGCCGCGCAGAGCTCCAGGTACGGTTCCCCAGTGAAAGAGAGCCGGGCTGGCAGAGAGGCGGCGGCGGCGGCAGCGCAGGAGAGTGACGCACCCTTTCTGCGGATGACTGCGCGCAGGTTGCACGCGCTGAGAACTCCCGGAAGCAGCAGGAAAGTGTCAGTGGAGGTGACGGTGACCGCTTTGAACTTTTTCTCAGAAGCAGCAGCAGAAACTGAGCGGCAGTGTGGAAACCTCCCACACGACAGTTTCACTTGAATTTCAACCCACTTCTTTTTTTTTTTTTTTTTTGTGTGCGTCGTTTGTCTCAGTGAGGCGTTCAGAGCCCTCAGGTGATCTCAGATGTAGGTACGCTCTGACCCACTTTAAGATTTGGCACAGCTCCACGAAATTTGAACTGGATGTACCTGAGGGACACGTTCACAGTCGCGAGGAAAAGGTGAGTCAATACTAAATTTTAATATTATTGTGTTGTTTTCTCGTCCGAAAATGAAATTGCGTTAAACGTTTGAGCGCGCGCGCGGCCAGCTCAGTGGCGTTGGGAGGTCGGTGGAGCGAGTCCGGGTTTCATTACAACCCGAACATCTTCTGTCAACCCGCTGTCTGTTCAACACGCAGCAGTCCATTCATCGTATTCCACAAAAAAAAAATTATAAAAGCACACACACACACAAAAAAAAAAAACCCCGACAAAAAATACAACAACCGCGTTATCTCCTGAGATAAGACGTTTCATTTTTGTTTCTTCCTTTTCCCGGAAGAGTCTTGCACATTCCGCCGAAAGACACCACGGCGAGCATGCAACTGGTTGAGAAAGACCAGGAGTCTGTGCACTGAAAAAACAAAACAAAACACTGTTGTCAAAGCTATTGAACGAATCTATTTAAATTGAGCAACTTTAGCTCAGGCATTTTGCATGATTCTTACAGGATTAGCTCATTTAGTTCAATAATGAATCCTGACTGGGCGTTTTGATTACAATATGTGATGATTGAATCAACCACAAGCCATTATCTGACACTGCTGGAGAAGTGTGAGACTGAGATAAATGAAACTATTCAAGTGAAAATAGCCTCTTGGTGCAAAACACGTTGCTGAAGCAGATGGCCTCAAAACCACACAAAATTCAAGGTCTACTTATGTTTGTTGATTCTGGTTTTGGGCTCCTCCTTATAGGCCTTATTTGCTTATCTCAAGACATTTCCCTTCAGAAGATTATATTTAAAAAAAAAAAAAACAGCTTTAAATTACACATTTCCATAGCTGATTCTTTTCTTTAAAAACTCCCAAGTGGGTAAACGCTTGCACCTCCTTCTACCTGAAATAAGTTGCCTTTATATGTACAAACTCTGAGACAATTTGAAATGTCAAAGTTTAAAAAAATAACCAACACAACAAATCTGTAGCTCTCCCAACATTCGAGCCTAAAAGGGGAAAAAAGGTGAACTCTGCTTCTTGGAATAGCCACATGGTATTTATTGCACAAGATTCTTGACAAGAACTTTTTCTCGTTTTTATGTAACGTGTCCTCCTGTGTTACTAACGAGCTAAATCACGCCTCTGATAGATCAACCTCTGTGACAGGGAGAAGTCACTTAGTCCTTTGTTTGCATAATTCCATAATTTAACAGACGAAACCGAGCACGGATTTCCAGTTACGTCAGCTTTCAGTCACTACAAGAGGGAACAGTCCCCAAGAGATGCCAGACGCCCCCGGTGAAGATGAGCAGAGTCGCCCTGAGGAGTTTCACAGAGAGCCAGCTGTCTCTGGCGCCGCATTTGCTTTGCTGCTCCTCTGCTGTTGGAGACCAGAGGAGGGAGAACAGACCTGGGTGTGGCTCCTCACTTTAATGACGGGTTTGCATTCGAACTGGTGTTTACTGAGCCCCGCTGGTTCATTCACACACAAATGCAGGCACGTGATCCGCAGAGAAACCCCTACAGCCATGCAAATCCTCGGAGCCACATGAGTGACACGGTGGACTCGGCGTGGCCACGAGACGTGAAGCTCGTAAATAGTTTGAGCTTGAGGTGTGGGAAGATGTTTCATTACTGGTATAAAAAAAATATATATATATATCAATGTGTGAACATACAGTACATATACATATTCACAGATTCTGAGTGTTCAAACCACAGCAACGTGGGGGAAGAAGTGACAGGAAACGATGAGGGTGTCTGAAGTCGGGGGTTGTGAGGTATTTGCTGTGGCCCTTGTTTGTTTTCTCTTCCCCTCTGAACTTCCCCGTTCCTAATGAGTGGATTTTTGTCCAGCGTTCTGTGGGGAATAAAGGTAGCTTACATGTGCAGCTGATAGGTGTTGAGTTAACAATGCTGTTGTTTGGTTTACCCTCCATTTGGACTCTCTTTAGGTGCTGTGGGATTTCCCAGCTCACCCTGAGGACTTGTCTTTCATTTTAAAATGTCAATTTAATAGATTGAAGAAAGCCTTTTCCTCAACTCTGCTTCATTTATCAGTTTCATTTGAGAATATCCAGTCATGACTGTGTTATGCTGTGACTAGAATTTTGTTCAGGTGCATGTTTTCTTTTTGTTTGAGGCAGCGTTTAATTTTATGGTGATCGTACAATAACATCCCTTTGCCTAATTGTGAAACCGTTTAGATTTGGCTGATATTTTTTTATCGAGGGATAATTAGTGCGGTTTTCTGTATGGCAGATAACTATATTTGTAAATTAAGGGACAGTAATGGGCAATGTCTGTTATTATAGAGAAATGCAATTTCTAGGTCTGGGAATTTTGAATGGATTCAAAGCGTTCAAAATTGATTGTAAAATTTAAGTTGTAAGTCTTTGCCCATTTGTGAGTATATAGTGAGTATATTATATTGCATTATATGTCCACTTGTCCTGTTAGCTAAGCTATAGTTGGCTTACCTTAGCTTAGCTGCTAAGCTAACCTAAAACTGGTTATTAAAGTTTCAGACTTTAATGCACAAACCTGTTTTTCTTAAATGCATACAGGTTTCTGAATCAAAAATCATTTCCCAATTGAAAATGGTTTCTTAATTGTGACCATAAAAACCTGAATCGAATAGCTGGACACTAAAAGATTCACATCCTTCATATCTAGCATTGAGACAGATTAATAATCCCTTGTGTTTGCGAATCTTTGATTCTTCAATAAAAACTACAAACTTTTGACAAAAATTTAATTTGGTAGGGGGCAGCGCTGAGTAAAAATGGTCAATTCTGAAAATGAGTAGATGAGTGACTCGTTCCAAAGCACTATGTATTCATTCTACTGCCTTATTATGTTATTTGATATTTGAACTGACATCCGCTACAATAAAACGGAGTGACTGCAGCTGTGTTTATATTACAAGTGAACTTTGTCGATATTCCTCTAATGTCAGGAAAACTCAAATTAGATGCACAATTAAAATTAAACATGAATAATGTTGTTTACATGATAAGTCATTAAAAATGTACGCTGTTATCTTCCTACCACTTCCTGTCTTTGTCTTTTCCGCCACTAGTGACATCCTGTGACTCGTGTGATGCAAAACAAAGTGTTTCCATTTCAGTTTTGCGAAAAACGCTAATAAAAACCATTTCATCTTGGCACAAAAGCTTTCTGTCAAAAAACTTTCAAAATTGCAGTGTTTCCATTAAGCGAAATTATTTTTGTAATTCCAATTAGCATAATTTACGGTGAGTGGAAACGCAGCTAGAGACAGACTTTACCCTCTCTGTTGACTCTCTTTTGACCATACCAGCTAGATATGTAGCTCTGTAGGTAATGTGGGATTTCAGTGCCACACTGATAGGGGGCAGCGCTGAGCCTAACAGACAGGTGCTCTTCTTCTACACATCCAAAAAACTGAAAACAATCTAAAAAAACAGAAACAAAAATGCAGACAGAGCAGAACCGATCAAGGGCTGTCTCTTTTGGTTGCCAGATTTTTAAAAATGAAAAGGAAATAAAGGACTTATTTTCATTTTATAGATTTTGGTGACAAAGTATAGGCACATGGAGATAAAAAATTTTCAATGAAACATTCAAATAAAAACAATGTGACTTTGTGTTAATTTGTCTTTCTTGCTGTTACATTGTTGAGTTCATAAAAGCATAATTAAAGCTTTAATTTGTTATGTTCAAAATTTAAAAATGATCCTCTGTCTTGGATTTTGGATTTTTAAATCCATGTCTGGGGGGAGTACATGCAGTTATGAAACTCAAGAATTAAATATTCCTCTTAGTATAGTTGTTGAGTTTAAAATTTGAATATTATGACAACGCTTGGAAAGGGTGGCATTACTTAAAACTTTTGACATGTCTGGCCAACTGAACCGTCACACCAAGCAAGGAGAGAGCATTAATCAGAAAAGCAGCCAGAAGGCCAGCAGGTACTTTGAGGGAGTTTCAGAAATCTGCAGTTCTGGTGTCAGGGACAGGACACGCGTTAGTCATGTATTCACTATCCTGGCCTTGTATGGAGGAGTAGCAAGAAGAAAATCATTTATGAGGAAGAAAAAAAAGGATATGAGAAATCCTGTTTGAAGTTTGCTGCAAGTCGATGGGCCACAAACATGGTTATGAGACCACAGCTCAACTTTGCTGCTTACATTTAAATCTAATCCTGTGTGTTAACGAATGCCATGAGGCACTCTGAAAGCCCAACAGTCTCACTGAAACATAGCGGTGGCACTATTATGCTGTGGGACCTCCATCTAACAGTGGTAGTAAATTTTCCATTTTCACTGAAACCAATTTCACTTCCTATTCTTATTTTTATGAAACATGATACCTTCAACTTGAATGGTTTAGCTTTTTTATTTATACATATCTGAAATTCAGCTTTCCCTTTCATGTTCTCACACTTATACTCTGACAGCCATGATAGAATTTATGATTTATGCTTTCCTGCGTTTGGCGTCACTTCTGCTAAACTAAGAGCTCCGATCGTTTTATTTACCACAGTGTCCCTCTTAGTGGAGTCCCTTACACTATCTGGTCTAGAAGGTCACAGTGAACTTTGAGAGCCAAAATATGTTCTAGCATCAAGACTGTGTGTGTGTGTCTGCCATGCTTTTAATAGCTTGTGGGGCCCATTTTCCTGGCATGTATTACATTGTGGGACCTGCTGCTCTTTGTGGGGACAGAGTTCTGAAGGAACAGTGGGAAATGCTGTTTTTTGGGTTGGGTTAGGCTTACGGTGTGAACTGAGTTGGGTTGTAGGAATGAATGGAAGTCAGTGGAACATCTCCACAAAGATAGTGTGACAAACACGTGTGTGTGAGTGAAAGTTGCTCTGAGTTGGAAGAATGTAATTAATTAATTAATTTTTTTTGTCTTTCCTCGTTTTTTGAGCCCTTCTTATGTCGTCAGCTTTATAATTTAAGTTGGATGGTTAAGGGGTCCGCTGAAAGCAAAGGATCAGCTTTGCCTTAGGTTACTGAAACAAAGAAAATATATCTAACATGAGCTGAATTAACAAAGTTGTGCATGTGATTGAAGTAGAGCAGCTTTGTAGACAGCGGTTTGGTTGGTGCTTTCACTTCCGGCTGCTGCAGCTGCTGACTTTTACAACTTGCAGTCATGCTTTTATTTTGCTGAAATACTCTGATTTTCATTCGTCTCAGTAAGATGACAGACAGGACTTCAAGTCCTGCAAACACAGCAGGACTTTTTTTCAGAGGTTTCCTGTTGTGCAAATGTACATACAAAGTTAAGAACCTTGACTTTCTTGCAGATGCATTGATATTTGTCGACTGTACTGAGATAGAAATCTGCTATTTTGCGAGTACAGCTGTTGTACCGCAGATATTCAAGTTAAGGTGCCTACTGTCAGGTAACAGGATAACAGTCTGTTTTGAAGCTTTTAAATTCTGATATGAAACACCCGGTTTTATCCACATTTCTATCAGTAAAAAGTCCAAGGGGGTTGGAACAAAAAAAAAATTATTTAAAGCAAAAGATCTAATTGTTAACGCCATAGAGATACAGCCCTGTTTAGACAAACAACCAAACAGCCGCCGTCTACAAATCTTTGTGTGCCGAAATGTTGGCTGACGTTTGGTAATATGAGTTGGGTTTTGTCCTAAAATTACGCATGAAAACTGCAGTTTTAAATCGCTATAATGCTTCAAAGCTGTTTGGAAGGTGAGAGCAATAAGAATGTCATCAATGTATCATGATAAATGATGGACAATACAATAATCCTGATTATACAATACACAGTAGTATAACCACAGTAAAACGATAAGTTCTAAATTTACATTTAAAAGTGCCTGGATTAGTAATAGGACAAAAAGATTACAAATCACCCCAGTGTTTCATCCTAACCTTGGGGTGTCTAACAAACGCTGATTAGGTGACCTCAAAGATCTCCCAGAAACAGAAAGATTGACATGATCTGATGAATAAGCCTCTGAATAACCAGAGCCTTAAAAGCAGGTACTAGGACTGTAAACTGGATTCTGTAATGAATAGGGAGCCAGTGAGCAAGTTGGCTTCATGTGTTGAATTCTTTCAAATGAGAGAGACGAGCTCAAACTGCTCAAAAACAGCTGAAATGGGACCAACAGGTGAATCAACAAGTAGCCAGTCGCGCAGATGCCGCTTTGCTAATAAAGATAGTAAACTCACATTGAAACACTTTTATTAACATCTCTAGGAATATGTCTATTTTGTCTTTCCTCCATTTTTGTTCAACTATATGGTGTTGTCTGACCTCTGAGTGCTTGGTGGACAGACTACGAATCCATAAAAGCAGCAGGAAATTGTCCAGTTGTTGCCAGTGCTGGGATCTTGTTGTTAAAAACCTCTGTCTTTTTTGATTAGAAGTGAAACAACAAAATCAATAATCACCAGGAAATTGTGTGAAATGGCAGATTCAGATAGTTCCCAAAAAGAGAGATGGCTTGTCCATGAGACATGTGGCCGAGATGATGTGTTGGTCCATTTACTACCTGAAGGACTCAAGACATGACAAGAGCCTTCAAGGTTCAAGGGCCAGAGGATCTGAAGGGCAGCAAACATGAATATTGAAGTCTCAATAATAATTGATTAGAAAGTAATAATTGATTTGAATGAAATTAGCTAAAAGCTTTTGTATGAAATCCTTTATAATATTTAAAAGGACACCAAAGATGGTAGATCCACATGGTACCGGGGACGAATTAATTCGGTAACAAATAGCTGCAGCTCAAAAGAAGAAGGTGTAGAGTTTAAGACTAACTCAACACCTAAAATCATCTCCAAAAACCACAGCGATGTTGCGACGTGCCAGTCACAAAGTTGAAAAAGGAACATCCAGGAAACGTTTTTGTTACCCGGTTTCATCCACATTTCTATCAGTAAAAAGTCCAAGGGGGTTGGAACAAAAAAAAATTATTTAAAGCAAAAGATCTAATTGTTAACGCCATAGAGATACAGCCCTGTTTAGACAAACAACCAAACAGCCGCCGTCTACAAATCTTTGTGTGCCGATGGGAAGGAGGTGATGATGAGTAAATCGCTGAAATGAGAATAATCTGAGGCAGAGCTTGAGTTTGACGGCATTCTGGGGATGTTGTACCCAGATTGCTCGTAGACATCTTCTACAGCTACGAACAATCTGGGGTAAATTGGTCTGTTTTCTTGTAAATTTGTCCTACTTTACACACAGAGAAAGTTCAGGATACTAATGTCTCTCCTGTCCATATTTCTTGGCATTGATGTCCTCCTGCATGTTTCTGCAAGAAATTAGTGCCATTTCTGCTCAAACTGGTTGCTTCAGATAAGAAAGCTATAGCAATGCATTTCCTGAAACATGCATAGCTTTTGTTTTCTAGACATTTAATCAACAGTGCAAGAGTAATGACTTTATGGGTTTCTGCAGATTTGGTAGGTTCAGTTTAAGACTTCAAACCATGATTTGGGAGTTTGTTCTCTCCAAGGTGTGGCTGCATGACATATGAAGAATATATTGTCAGCAGGTGCAATATTCATACCGCAAACAATTGTTTGGAGCGCTATAGTTGTTGACTAACATATGCCAACTGCTACGGCCTTACATTGGCATTTTTCATGCTAATGTAATATTGGTCTGAGTAGTGATGCAGGCTTCTTCCTCGGTCGGATCTTCCACTGTCTATCTGCCTCAGATATGATGAAGCTTTTGCCTTTCTCCAGCTAAAGCATGCCTAGCTGCTCTGTGGCACCAAGGAATGCGCTGGTCTTATCTAGCAATTGGACTGCATCCAGATTTCATTGCACTTTTGCTTTTGTTTTTAAATGACTAAAGCCAAGGACTCACCTTTTCTTCTTTGTTGCTGCTATTTGTAGGAGATTGAACACGGAGCACCTGGTCTTAATCTCTGAAACAAACACCAGAACCAACAGAAATCAGGTTGTTTTCCACTTATCTGACCAGCACATAAACTTAGTTAATGATGCATAATTTCCTGTGGATCCTCTTCTGTGTCCTGCGATGCAGAAGTGGATTAGGGCCACTGAGAAAAAAAAAATCTTTTATTTCCCTCAGAATTCTGATTTCTGAGAAAAAAAAAAGAGTCTAAATTCTTTTTTTAGTGACTCCCATCTTCTTTCATGCACTGAAGTTTACTGGGATTCTGCTCTGTATTTTTTAAAATGTTGACGTTATTTCACTCCTAAGACAACTTTCATGTTGTGTCTTTCTTATATATTTCATTCTCATCCAACCCTTCTAGTCTCCTCATTTCTTTGTGTTTTTGATTTGACGCTTCTTTCCACACACCCTTGGTTAAGGAACCTGATCACTAAAGATTCCTCCCTGTATGTGTGTGTTTGTAATACCTTGTGGGGACCATTTTCCTGACACTTTGTTGTGGGGACCCACTGCTCCTTGTGGGGACCGAAGCCTGGTCCCCACAAGGGTAAACACTGATTTTGGGTTGGGGGTCAGATTTAGGACTAGGGTGTGAATTGAGTTTCGGTTAGGGTTAGGTATGTAATGGATAGGGGTAGGGTGAGATGTAGGCTGTAGAAATGAATGGAAGTCGGTGGAAAGTCCCCACAAAGATAACCACACAAGTGTGTGTGTGTGTGTGTGCCTTTGTGTGTGCCTTTGTGTGCATGCTGCGTACTGGATGTTTGGATTGAGATGGAGTTACATAGTTGGATTGCGTAATTGCGAGGCGTGTCTCAGGCTGCTTGGAGCTGCTCTACTGTTCCCTCTGCCAAGCGGGCTGAGCTTGGATCTGATGGCGCTGCTTTGGGTGTCATGGGAGATTGGAAAGTAATGTCAGATGGTGTTCGTGACTCTAAATGCAAGTTTACCGTAAACAGAAGATTACAGTGGATTCCAGGTCTCAAAGTGAAGATGGAGTTCTGCTCGGAACCACGGGCTGTTCCCTGAATCGCATCTATAAAATTTAGTTTGTGTTTGTCTTGTTTCTGTTAGACTCGCGCTAGAATGAGATTATCTCACTGTGGAAAGTTCTGTGTTCTGTGGTATTTGTGCAAAAAATGTCAAAGTTGTATCCCGGGATAAAATTATTTTTTTTAAGAGATAAGCAACAATCATGTCTGCTGCTTATAAAAAAAAAAAAGCCAAGTGTGACAAACAGGCAAAACGAAAAAAAAAATAGGAAGGGGGTAAACAGTTTTTGTCACCACTGCATTTCACAATTAATGAGTTAGTAATTTGAATCAGAAAATGATTGAGTGATAATATTATAATCCAAAAGATATGAGTTTATCAGGCAAACTGCTAAATCACAATGAAACTTCTCCATTGTTTACCCATCATAGTCGGTGTCTTTTGTAATGTCCTTCTGACATTACAAGCCTTGGTAACAACACATTTCCATTTGTTTGTGGATTAGAAAATTTTAGTAGTTTAGTTGTGGTGTTCATGTTAGAATAGAATAGAATTCAACTTTATTGTCATTGAACATGTCACAAGTACAAGGCAACAAAATGCAGTCGAGGATTTTATTATTTTTGACCTTTACTTGTACTTTAAAACGCCATGAGGCCTGCATTTCTGTTGTATCCATAATAAAGACCATACAGATCCAATTCTACTGATTTGACTGCTATTTTAGAGTCAATGTTCTAAATACATTAGTGTTGAAGTTTGTTTTATAATTAATGCTTCTGGTTGTCTTTCTAATTAGTTTTTTTTTCTTTGCAGACTTCCCTGATGGTCTTGGAAACGCCTTAACAGGAGACAGCTTGGGACTTTGGATCTTTTTAGTCGGCCTTCCAACTCATGACAAGCCAACCTCCAACCTGCCGAAGAACACAGCTGTGAACGCCGACACGATCTTTGGGCTCTATTGCCTGTTGTCAAAGTCTCCATCTTTTTCAAGTCTTCTCTGACGCCATGTACAGCACAAATTCTAACGTCAATGTGTGCCACTATACCGAATCTGTGGAATTTTTTTACAATAATAGCAATAAGACGATTTCTCGATACTGGCGCAAACGGGACTATGCGGTCGTCTCTTTGGGACTGCTTGTTTGCTTCATAGTTATCTTTTCAAACCTTTTGGTCATATTGGCTATTTTCAAAAACCGACGCTTTCACTTTCCCATCTACTACCTGCTGGGTAATCTGGCTGTTTCAGACTTGTTCTCAGGTAATGTCATTTTAGTTGTTCTCTCATATGATTTTGTTGGAATGACTATTTATTGTGAATTTTATGCAAGCCCAAGTGAAATTCATTGAATTTTCTTAAAATACTTCTCTTTATTTGGTCATTTTTCTTCCATAATTTACTTCTTTATAATCACACCTTAATAGATTATTAATGCTGGAGGTAATTTGTAAATTGTTGGATAAAACACCAGTGATCTTTCTATTTTTATATCTCATCAAAGAAACTTTCACAAAATAACACGCAGCTTCATCAGAACTAAAGAACGAGTCAGATTGTAACATGTATTATTGGGACAGAATAGTGAATAGTTATATTTGTATAGTTAGTTGAATTGAATGTATAGCATAAATATTTTCTGTAAGTTTTATCTGATGGAAATTTAAAGATAAACATTTTAAATGTTTCAAATATTGAAAATTGCGTAGATGTTTTAAACAAACATTTAAAATTGTTTAAATGTTTTAAACAAAGTTTAAGAATTTATCATGTTTCCTAATTACACACTTTAATTTTGAAATTAAAAGGCAAATTTTAAAAATTGCATTTAATTTTATGTTTTTATGAAAATAGTAATTCATTGAAGTTAAGTGCTTTAAGGTGAACTAAATGCAAAACAAAAAATTAAAAATAATGAATTGATGGACATGATGCAGCCAAAACTTGCCAGGTTTCTATGCCATGCTTACATCAGATGTCAACATATGACCAAATGTCCACTTAAAACCAAAAAAATTGTGGCTAATTTTATTCCACAAAATGGAAAGTTTCTACATTATACAGGAGGAAATGAAGTGAAATGCTTGATTTCAGTGTTTTGTGAAATAGAGGAGGCTGGGGGAAGATGAGCCGTTTCTTACATTTACTTCAACGCAACCGTAGTTTGTGAGCTCACTTGTATATCTGCGTATATTTCAGAATGTTGTGCATGTCTTCAATCAGTCGGAACGAGTGTAAATATTACTGTTTAGATAATGATGCATTTCCAAAAAGAGTTGTCTGATGACTCGACGTGCACCCTTCCTGTTTTCAAGTGTTTGAGAAGTGAACATTAACATTTGGAGGGAAAACACTAGAACTGAATCCTTGTTTTGGAATCACTGTTTACCCCAAACCTACCATTTCTAGTAGAAACACTTGAAATGCTACACATGAGCTACAGTACCCCATGTTCTCTCTCTTACATGGCACAACTGATGTATATAAAACAAATTAAACTTATGTTCGACCACTTTAACCATGAGGTGCTTACCGCCATGCCTTTAATTCAATGATCCGTTACTTAGTCACATGATAATTGTTTTTTTTAAATCATTTCCTAGAAGCAAGAAAAGGCTCAACTCACCTCAGGCTCTCCTACTCTGTAGTGTAAATCCTTTTTACATTTTTACATTTACTCAGAAACATTCATTTACTTAAGTAAATGAATGCTACACTTACAGGCCCTGTTTGATAACATTGCAGTTTTTTTTTTTTTTTGTAAATCATTTTTTGGCAAAAGCAACAAAAGGGCAAAACATTTAAGGTGGTGAATTGGTTTTATAGGCACTAGCTTTTGTAAGGCTGACTGTGGTAAATTCTTGCTCTGGTAAAAAAAAAAGAAAAGACATTATAGATGTATACATGCTTGTTGTGGCATGACCTCAGCCACTGTCCTCGCCGCTAGTGACATAGCTCATCTCTAACAAAGATCTAATGCTACTGCGTAAAGGTACAATGTGTTTAGGCACAGCTGAACCTGCTGAACCAGTTGGGAATTTGCCTCAGAGCCATTTTGTTAACGTCTGCCACACCAGGGACACAGGAGTGCCTGGACCAGTGATGTGTGGTCAGGGGAGTTCATCATGGACGACTGATATATAATTTTACATAGTTTAGCATATTTATATAATGTACACCAACTGTGTGTGTAACCTGTTTCATGTGCTGAGGAGCGATCAGAAAAGGCAGAGAACAGATTTGAGGTGAGGCAGGCAGTTCTCTTACCTCATGGCAGGGGGCGCTCATGATCCCAGACATTGTGACTCCACAGAGTAAGAGACAGTAATGGCGAGCTAGAAATACAGCACAGGTGTCAAACTCCAGTCCTGGAGAGCCACTGCCCTGCAACTTTTAGATGTGCCTCTGCAGCGCCACACCTGAATAGAGTGATTAGGTCATTAAGGCTCTCCAGAACTTATCGACTCGAGAAGGAGGCAGTTATGTAATTCTGGTGTTTCGTACTGTGGCACATCAAAAAAACTGCAGGCCCCTAAGGACTGCACTTTGACCCCCCCTGCTTTACAGTAAAGTCAAGTGCAGCGACATATTTATAGTTTTCTCCTCTTACCACAGCAGTCACTTATTACTGATGGCAAAATAAACATTTAGCCTAACCATACTACTGCAACAGGATGAATGTTCTGCTCTTTGTGTGGGAAATATGAGTGTTTTTGTTTTTTGTGACATTGTTGTCAGTTACTATGGCAAAGAGTCTTCAAAATTGATAACCATTGTGATTAGTTGTGATTAGTAATTTCTTACAAATTTTCTCCTCAGGCATTGCCTACCTGCACTTGATGTTTCACACTGGCCCTTGGACCATAAAGCTAAATCAGTACCAGTGGTTTGTTCGCCAGGGGCTAATCGACACCAGCCTCACGGCCTCCGTCCTCAATCTTCTTGCTGTTGCCATGGAGCGACACCAGACCATCTTCAACATGCAGCTGCACAGCAAGATGAGCAAGCGGCGGGTTTTCATCATCATATTTTGCATCTGGATGGTGTCGATTATTATGGGCCTTTTCCCCACCATGGGATGGAACTGTCTGTGTGACCTGAAGAAGTGCTCCACTATGGCGCCGCTCTACAGTCGCAGTTTCCTGGTGTTCTGGGCGCTTATCAACTTGATCACTTTCTCCATAATGGTGGCCATCTACACCCGGATCTTCTTTTATGTGAGGCACAAGAGCAGGCAGATGTCTGAGCACACAACCCAGACCAGACACAAAGAGACTGTTCTCGGCTTGATGAAGACCGTTTCAATGATCCTAGGTAAGTCAGAAATGCATGTTAAATGTCTTCAAAAATGAACTCAGAATTTTGTAAAATTATCTTTTGAAATAGTGATTATTTCATCCTATTACTTGGTTTCCTTGAATACACATCGGTATTACATAAAAGCTGCATCCCAGTTATCTGGGAAGACATATGGCTCTCAAACCAGTTATTTGGTTTGAGAGGTAACTGTTCTCCTTCTGAGAACTGAAAATAGTTGCACTGCTTTGTAATTGCCTTTACATGTCTGTGCTTGTCAGGGCAATCCTTGCTTCCCCAACATACCTGCATTCACTCCTTTCCTCTCACTCCGCTCTTGTTTTTTGCTGCCTTTCCTTTATATATTTATCTTCTTCCGAATTTTCCCTGCCTCCTTTGCCTCTCCTGAAGAGCCATTGAATTCATTGAATTCCTTAAATTTTGAAAAAGTGTTACAAGCCTTTGTCCTGTCACTCAGCAGCTGACTGACCTGTAAACTCTCGAGCGCGGCCGGGCCAGGAGCTGCAAGCATAATTCCAGTTCTGTTTTCAAAAGAGGCTTGGATGACAATCCTGGGCGAGCCTCAGCTTGTAGTCCACTCTATGCATATGTGTACTTTCACATTTAAAATTGAGTTAATTGGTGTCTTTAACCTGCAGTAGGAGAGGAAAATTTTAGCTTAAACTTGGAGGATAGAGCCAGGTGACTGTGACCACTGGGGGTTTGTTTGACTTTCTAAGGAATGCATGACATGTTTAATGTCTCAGTGCTTACTACCACATTGTTTTACCATTTCTGTCCAGAGTTTGCATATATTAATGCTCTGTGTGCCGCATGTGTGCACATTCCTGAGATCCCTAATCAAGTATTATGATAATAAAACCTGATCGTACAGACTAAACCCATTCCACAAGCCGGCATGTTGGGCGTCTCTCGGCCTGTTGGTTTGCTGTGGGTCCGTCAGAGAATTTCTAAATCACACTGTGGCCTCTTCACCTTCTCATTAGGGTAACTTTTGTCAAATTTTAAGTTCAGAATCTCCTAACATCTTTGATTTCTCGTCAACAGGCCTCTTTGTGCTCTGCTGGACCCCGGGCCTCGTTCTGCTGATGCTTGACGGTCTCAATTGTGAAGCGTGCACCGTGCTGCTCTACGAGAAGTACTTCCTGGTGCTGGCCGAGTGCAATTCTTTCGTCAACCCCATCGTCTACTGTTTCCGGGACAAAGACATGAGGAAAACCTTCAAGGAGCTGCTGTGCTGCTTGTGTTACCGGGGCCAGCGCCCGTCTGATAATGACTTTACCACTCTTGAGGTAATGTCTGAAACCAACGAAGATGACAACACCAATCACAAACAGAAAAACTATTCACAATAAAGACTGCTTTTGTTTTTAAGTCAGACACCTTAGCCAAGCGCTGCTAGTAACTTTTGGGCGGTTTGATTTCCATTTCATTGGAAAATCTAAACAAAAGTAGAAATGTCCAACTACAGCTGGAGTACAAGCAAAGAAATCAATAGCAGATTTTACACTAAATGACTTGAATCATTTAAGTATGTTTAGATTTCAGATTAGAGGCAATAGTATGAAGTTCTGACTTACAAAAACCCAATCAAACTGAAATAACTTCTTAATTTGAACAATAAGAAGCAGATGCTAACGATAGCATTGTTAGTGACGATGTGTCTTATTGTTTGTTTAGAAGGGAGTTTGCAGAAGGTACCTGGTCTGAACAGGCGTCCAGTATAAATCTGCAGTTACCATTAAATTCTAAACAGGCTGATTTTATGAAACGCTTTGCTAGTCGTATCGACCACTGAAATGGTTTTTCATGCTAGCTTTCTCTCATTTACACATTCATACATTACACATTCATCACATTGCAAGAATAGGTGTTAAAACAGGCTACAACCCCCAATTATGTCAAAAGATGACATTTCTGTCTTTGCTGGAAACTTTATGTTTTTGGCAACATTGGGCTTATTAATTAACTTGATTTTTTTTTTTTTTTGTAAATTAAGCAGTCTTCTGTCATTGCTTTTGCATCCACAGGTAGTCTGTAGATTAAGTTAGGTTTATTTTCTTCTCATTATAGTTCAGTTGTAGTGAGTACGCTTTAGTTGAAACTTTGTAGAGTTGATTTTTGATCTTTGACTTGCTTTACTTAATCTGAAAACTTTATTTGATATGTATTTTTCTTTATAAAAGTACACATTAATGCAATGAATTGTTAATTATTAACATTTTCTGCTTTTCTTTTGAAACATCTTCGTCCACTTTTTAGAGGTTGGTGCAAAGTGTTAGCTTGAGGCAAACTCTTAATTCCTGTTTTTTTTTTTTCTTTTCTTTTTAATGCTTAATCAAATAGCTGGTGTGAGAGTGCTGGATTTGGTCTTCCTCTGGTCACGTTAGTTCACTTGGACATAACAAATCAGTGGTCCCCAACCTTTTTATCACCGTGGACCGGTCGGTCAAGTCCTGTCTACTTTACTGCGGCCGGGAAGTGGATCGTCAGATAAGACTTCTGCTAAAGCCTCGTTCACATGGCACAATGTAAAATTTTTCGCCCTAACCAGGAGCGAGAACGCAACCTGTTGAATGTAACAGGTAGCCAATCAGAAAACGCGGTGACGATGGCGAGAGGGGAATCCCAAATAGTTGACATGGCAACCAAGAGTCCGGTGGACATCGGAGATTAAATGGAAACTATCATGTGCTTCATAAACAAGGATGTTAAAACTGTTGGCTAGAAGAAAAAAACATGATTCACCTCCAAATCATAGTTCTTTGTGTTTCGCTTAAAATGATCCACAAACTGTCACTACTGCTTCTACATCGTCATCGTGTTTGATTATTCTAAATTTACGTTTGGGATGTTGGGGTTTTACTGGATTTTCTTCTGGAATCGGGATGTTCGTGACTGGAATCGGTTCTTGTGCTGTGTTGAACCTGTTGAACTTTTATCGGCTCGGTTTGTGTTTAGTCAGAGGTTTGGAAAATTGGCCGACAACCCTTAAATCGCGCCGTGTGAACCAGACCTAAAACTCACAAGCTCTGTGCTAACGCTCTCTGACTGCTTGCTATGGAAACTTTTACACATCCCTTCAAAATAAGATACAGACAGATGCGCCACAAAAACAAACATTTTACTTTCGTGACAATTTTAACTGAGGATAACGACTAATGGAGCCCTGAGCTTGTTTCTCCCATCTGGGAGTGATGAGAGACAATGACGCCAGAAGTGCTGCTTATGCACAGCCTGTTTGGTCTCTACGTGGCGAAGCAGTTTGAAGCTTCATCGCCTCATTAACGAGTCGGTCACCGTGTCATGCAGAGCAGCTTGCACTGTAGGAATCATCTACCGGAGAAAAGAAACTTTCCAAAGAATCTGATCTGTTTCTGACTCGTGGCTCAGTGTTGGCGGCAAGACGTAACCGAGAGAATCCGGTTAAAGGATTTTCAAAATAAAAGATCCTCCAGTCTCAAATAATGCATAAAACGGAAATATTTAATCATTTCTTGTGCGGCCAAGTATCAATTGGTCCACGGACCGGTACCGGTCCGCAGCCCGGGGGTTGGGGACCGCTGTGCTATATCACAAGAAATGGTTTTTGTGTGGAGTCATAAAATATTGCAAAAATGATGTTTCAGTCACAAATTGCATAAAGCAGTTTTGACAGTGGGAACATTAACCCTCCCATGAGAAGGAGAAGGGAGTTTCTGTTCTTTGTAAGCAAACAAAGAAACAGCCTGAAGGCTTTTCAGTTTTAACAGTTTTATGTCACCTTGCCTGCAGCCTCATTGTTGTGGTCTGTTCATCTGCTCTGTGCACAACCCGGTCCACTTGCCTTGGCTCCATTTCGTTTGCTTGGTTTGCGAAGCGTCCGAGCCCATCGGCCTTTCTGTAAAGTGTGTGTCGAGTTCTTGCATCTTGAATAAGCCTAACTTGACTTTTGTCGATGCTGATATAATGAGCAGAAGAGCATGAACCAGTGACAAACTGCATGGCTTAACAGGAAAACAATGATGCATCATCTGCTGAACAATTGATATGCATCAGAAGGTAAAACAGGTTTCTCTCTGGAAGCTTGTCACAGCGTTTCCGCATCCTGACTTCATTTAATATGCCTCATTAATAGTTGAAAGTAAGGTGTACCAATTTTTTTTAAGGCCGATTTAGTAACGGCTTTCAGATTTTCAGGCATTCATGTTTCTTTTTTTAAAATTACCAGAATATAAGCAAAGATTTGCATACATTTGTAATGGAAACGCAGCTATATTGATTTTCCTGGAACTTACTTTGTACGTAGAATGTCCCCTACCCATATTTCCATCACAGCTGCAGGCACGCTTTCTGTATCCTGCCTGCATGTTGGAGTTTGATGCTCCAGGATTTTTTACCATGTCTGTGATCATCTGTGCATCCGGTGCTTTCTACTGTAGGCATTCAGCTACTCTGCGAGTCCCGACTGGCCTCAGTATTTCACTGTCAGGATTAGTCATAGGTCCTCGTAGTAATATTTCCATCCACATCTCTTCCAGTTCACGTCGACTTAATTCAATAAACATGTTTTGTTGCGGCAGAAAACGTCTGGAGAGACTTTGATTAGACCTTTTAAGGGCTTTACTGTCTTGTTCTTAAACCAAGCCTCCTTTTTATTGTATTTTATTTGCTGAACTCACCCAAATTCCTGGAAGCATTCCGCTGCCTCATGCTAATGTCACTTAGTGGATCGTCACCACAACATTTCTGCCTCATCAGTGCAGTGTTTATGTGTGTGTGTCTCTGTGTGTGTTCTTTTGTTGAAGCGTTTTAACTTGATCCAGATGTTTACGGGGTTTTATACCAGATCACGCTTCTTGCCACACATCCTCTGACTTGTTACTCCGGCATGTGCGTTGTAAACATGCCCTCACGCAACACGAGCAGGAAAATGCCGTCGCACGCATCTGGTCCGCGTCCACATCGACGTGTTGACCCGAGGGCGCCAGGAGAATGATTTCTGTGTTATTGTTTTTTGTTGTTCAATGTCCAGATGGCTGGACAAAGACCGATGTCTCCCGTCCTCCGTTCTACTTTTGTTGGCAAGATCTTCACTCCCTCGTGCAATTTAAAGAAAACTGTCATTCATTCGTGACAACCACATGTTTGTAAAACATTGCTTTACTTCAGTTAAGTCATTAACACACAGATACTTTTTTATATAGATATATTAGTGATGGTGTTGGGATTTCATTTTATATTCATATTATTTTTGTAAAAACATTACAACTATTGAAAATAAATATCCAACATGGCTACATGTGTATTTTTATTTTATTGTCCACCTGCTTTGTTCGGTTAGGACTTCTTTTGTTACATATGTCAATATCTCACACTGAAGTCGTGCAGCTGATAGAAAAAGTTTTTTCCTTTCATTTTAAGATGGTTCACATGTTCGTTGTGAGTCATGGTAGTGGCAGCATCATGCAGACGCTACATTTGAACCTCTAGATTAAATTATAGCCATGCTTTTAAAATGGCCCAGTCCAAGTCCAGGCCCACAGCGTTGTTGAGAGTCTGCGGCGAAACCTTTGAGTTTGTTTCAAAGATGCTCTCCTTCCCCTCTGACTGAGTTTGACAGGTTTTGTGAAAAAAAGATTTACCAAATTTCTTTTGGTGGAAATCCCGCCTCCAAAAATCACAAGTTTTAGCTGCAAGCGCAGCAGCAGGTGATTCAGCAGGGAGGGCGAAGTGTTGAATTCAAACACATGACTATGTTTTGAAGTTTTTATTGGGAAAGAAAATGAAAACAAATTCCATTTTGCTTTCCTTCCACGTCGCAGTTTGGGCTTACGTTGGTCTGTCGCATAAAATCGGCAAGAATTGAACCAAAACGCCTGGTTGATAAATTTGAACGTTTGAATGTTTTTCTTTTTTTATTCTTTTTTCTTTGTAATGACATGCTGCTGCAGCAAACAAACACAGAATAACTTCATCATCTAATAAGACACACTGAGGACTTTAAAATGTCTAATCTCTCATTGAGTCCATGTCTTAACTGTTTTGGGTTTTGTTCTTGTTTCAGTGAAATTTGGTTGTCAATCCAGATGCGGTTGGATTAGTTCTAATATGTATGATTAGTATAATTACAGTCCAGATTTTTAAAAAATCAACCATTTAATTTAGTTTTGGATCATAAATAGTGATAACTGCCATTAACTAAAAGATTGTTTAATTTTTTGCTCTTTGGCGCCCCCTTGTGACACCTGAACAGACTGTATTTAAAAAAAAAACGCCTCTCTCCAGCAGTTGTGTTGTTTTATGTTTGGTTGGGGTTTTTTTTCTCTTCTTGGGTTCTGGGCCTCTTTTTGCTGGTTTGGACTTGACTAACTCCCTCTCCATTGTTTTTCTTTCTTTTTCTCGCCATTCCACTTCCACTCACCCTTCTGCAAACAACCTCTTATTTCTCCTCTCCGGTCCTCCTCCTCCTCCTCCTTTCCCCGTCTTACCTCTACTTTCGCCTCTCCTGCTGTCTGCCTGCAGGAGTCGAGGCTTCGCACCGTCCGGAAGGCGGCGGAGGCCAACGGGACGCCTCTCATGAGTCACATGTTGGAGGATCACGCCGCCGCCACCTCAGACAGCTTCAACTGACACGATCTGAAACGCTCCCTTAACGGCATCTGCCGATGCTGGAGCGCTTTAAAAGAAGATGGCGCGACTCTGACCAGCAGGCGGACGTGAAGTCTGGGTGATTTTAATCCTTCTTTTAATAGACTTGAACCGTTTCTGAATGCGAGCTGCACTCCGATTTTAGAAGCTCTCCACAAATCACCAAGAACAGCATGATGGCCTGCAGAAGAAGTGAAAGGACTGTTGCCAAGGTGGCCATTTTGAAAAAGACCAGTGCAATGTGAGCCCTGCCACACTGTTTATGTGCGCGCAAAGGCTGCTACATCAACTCTTCAACCTGTCTTCCTGTAGATTAGAAACTTCATTGCTAAAGTGAAAAACAGTAGCTTAAAAGAATTACGCTTTGTGGGACATATGACACTTATTATCTCACGTTGATTTCATAAGTCAGAGCTCATGTAAAAGACTATATTTTCATCGCAATCTAGATATAGACAGTTTATGAAAAACTTTTTTCCCTCCATCGTTTCCCGCTTTTTCTACAAAAAGGCAGCTAAATGTTCACGACGTAGCCGAGAGATGATGTCTGTTTGCACCAGAGATTATTTTATAAAGCAAGCCATTAACTGTAAATAGTTAACGTCGTAACTTATCACTTTTTTTTTGTGTGTGCCTAAAACTGTTTTGAAACCGTCTCGTGCCGTGGATGCTAATCTGACATTGAGCTCGCAGAGGAAGGACGTCCTGACACGTTTTCCTTTTTACTGTTTTTATTTTACAGTTTCTTGAGAACTGGATTTGTTTGTTTGCTTTAAATGGCTTTTTTTTTTTTTGGGAGATTTTATCAGTTAGAATCAGACTCGCATATTTGTCAGATTTAAATATATTAGGAGCTATATTTTTAATTTTGTTTTAACTATTTTTTTAAAAAAATTTTTTAATCCCAACACAGCACTTTGCAACAGTATCCCCACCCTTTGAATTTTCTCACATTTTGTCACCTCACAAACAAACGTCTATATGTTTTACTGGGATTTTATGTGATGCATCACCACAAAGTACTGTAAAATGAAAATATGTAAAAAACAAAAAAAATTAAAAAGTGCATTTGCATAGATTTTATGCAGCATGTGAGCTGCGTACATATTTCTTCTTGCAGCTGTTCAGTGAAGGCCTAAATGTAACTAACTGTGTGACTTTTAAAGGGTCGGGTTTTACATGTTTTGGGGGGATTCAGATGAATGCCACACATCTCATATTTTACTTCCCCTTGTCACATAATGTGACTCTATGTTGGATTCTCGTGCTCAATCCCAGTAAAATGTATACTCTGTGGGTTTCATGTGGGGAAAGTTCAACGCCTGTGGATACTGTTGCAGTGTTTTTGAGTTTCAAAAACAGTTTTTATACATAGGGCTGGCTCTTGAAGGCCTCTGCGTTTTTCTTTTTCTAACAATTACCGCCGCAAGGTTTTGTTGCACAATGCGTCTCTGTATTTAAAACTTTTTTTTTTAAAGGGATGATTTGAGGTGATCCGCTCGTTTTGTGCCGATATCCCAGAAGCCGCTCACGCAGAATCAGATTGATGTTGCTTTGACTTTATTTTATTTTGGTATCAAGCTGTGCAGCCTCCAAGATTGGAAAGAAAGCAAATGACATTTAATGTGAAGTGAAACTGACAGGCTAGTAAGTCACAAACTTTCTAGTTTTTAACCACAGCTCTCATCGCCTTTGTTTTGTTAGTGACAATATAAATCTGTCATTAAAAGCTTTAAATGCATGTCTCTCTCTCTCTCTTTTCTTCTACTTTAAATTGTTTTTTTTTTCTTTTTTCTTCAGTTAGCGATGGTTTCTGACTGGCGTCTGGGTTTCATGATGTCCTTCAGCTTCTGTAGAGATATTTTGCCTCCAGGTGTTTCTTCCAGAGGAGAGACCTCTGGCTCCACGCCGAGCTCCTTTTTGTTTTCCGGGGAGAACGTCTTTCTGATCTTGTCTCCGACCCGAGCGAGCCTCTCTCTGTCCTTCTCCTTTTGTCCCTCTGAAGTGTTTGACTCCTTCCTCTCTTTGCCGAGCGAGAGGCTCTTCGTCGACTTGGGAGCCTTCTTGTCTCGTGTCGGAGGCATCAAGGAGAACTTCCTCTTGGATTTCTTGTCCTTCTTCAAAGTCTGCAGGTGAAGTTGTTTCAGAACGCTTTTCTTTTTGCTTTTCTTCTTCTTCTTCTTTGGCAGCGCCCTCTTCAGTTCTTTGAAGGCATTGTTAAGGGGCGACTTCTTTTTCTTTTTCCAAAAGAAGATTTTTTTCAGGGAGGAGTCGTCCATGTCTGTGGAATGAGAAATAAAACAAATCAGAGGTAAGTTGGGTATAGTTTAAAAATCATACCCAATATCAGCTCGGCCAATCACGTCTCAGACTGGACTTTCATTGGCTTGGATTCCCGCCAAAAGAATCTGAACGAGCCAATCAGTGAATAAATGGAACATAACATAAATGCAACAATTACAGAACATGGAACAAATGGCTTATAATGTTAAAAATCAAATTGATTGCAGGATTCTATACAAATATTTGTAATCTGGAAAATATGCTTTTGTTGTAAATGGTTGGAGGTATGAATATATTCACACTAAAAAATAAGTTGGAACCAAATACAATTTTCAACGAGCTAAAATAAAACACCCGTTTTGGTTGAAGTAGCCTAATATTTGGATTATTTAGCTGATGTTAAAAATTGGCTAAATATTCAGCTGGCGTGGCATTTACCGCCACAATATTTTGGTACAGTAAAAATCGTTCTTCAAAGACGATTATCGGGTATTTCTTTGGGAGGAATCGGTCAACACCGAACGATCAGCGATTGGGTCAAATTTAAAAGCTCAGCTGAGGCCACGCCTCCAGGAAGTGAACTCAGACCTTACGTAAGAAGCCATTGGGAGGAAAATAAGGGACTGTTTACTGGGATAATATAGTATTTGAACTAAAATCGAGTACAATCAAACAACTTTCTTAGATTTTACATAAAGGTTCACGAAGTGAACATTTAAAGCTCGCAACAGAGTAAGACGATTTTTAATGTGAGACTCAATTTACCATCCAAACACAAGAAGCATTTGCTCAAACAAAGCTGTTTCACATCAACTTGTTCCACAATAATGACGCTGACTCACCTCAGTCCGGTCAGCCTGGATCCTCCTGAGGTCTGAACCTGTAGGAGTCTGTTTGACTTGTCGGAGTCTGTTCCTGTCGGCATCAGGAACCATTCAAAGACCCACCCTCTCTCTGTATCTGATGGAAAGATCGACCACGAGACGCCTTGACTTTGTTTCCTTGACGTTTCCCCGACTCGAGAACAAACCGGTTCCTCCGCATCCTTTGGGGCTGACGCTGCTTCCAGGGATTTCACGTTTGGCCCCTGAACAAATGCGCTTCTCGCATGCAAAGTAATGTACAAATAACTCCAATGGAGAAATGTGTTTTATGAAAATGAAATGTTTTCCAGCATTTTTTGTTTTTTTATAAAAATCTGAAAAGTGTGGCATGTATTTGTGTTCAGGCCCCGTTTACTCTGATGCCAATAAATAATATCACGTTAAACCAGTTGCCTTCAAAAGGACCCGGTTCATGGACAGAGTTCGTACTCAGCTCAGATGACACATGAATCTATTTGGTTCCACGTTGTTTTAGAGCCAACAATAAATAAAAAAAGAGTAAATGTCAGTGATTTTATTTATTTATTTATTTTTGTAGAAAGTTGTTCCACTTCTTTTCATGGCCCTGACATGCCGTCGTGGTTCTCTGAAGGTTGTGTGAAGTTTTCTCGGGAACCTTAAGCGTCATCGTGGATAAAACGGGTCGGAGGAAACGTCAGCTGTTTAAATGGGATATAATATTATGCTGAGCCACTCAAAGCTTTTGAACATCTCACAGAGCTCTGTTTAATCCATCAGCAAAATAAAAAATAAAACCTTGAACTTTTTCACAGTCTCATTCATGTGTTTTGAATGGATCTTATACCAACAAACAGTGAGGCGTACTTGAAAAGTGACACCAAAATGTTTTTTTGTTATTATCATTCTAAATGTAATAAAGTGTGGCGTTCACTCTTTATAGTGAGTCATTTTAAAGATCTCAACTGATTATGAATCGATTAGAAATCGTAGTGAATCAGGACGATGTGTGTTTGGTGAAACGCGCCCTCTGGTGGAGAGATCGGGTCACTGCTGCGGGAATCTCCCCAGTCCCAAATCTTCACGTTTGTCACCGAGGTGCGTTTATGATTATGTTTGGTATTTATTAAGGAAAAAAAAAAAGAAAAAACAAAATAAGGATAAAAAAGTGTCCGACTTTACGTCTGTCTGTGTCAACGAAGCAAAAATAAAGGATTTGATGAGGATGTTGAGCGCAGCTCGCTTTCTGTCATGATGTGACGCGTCGGGGGGCGTTTCCAATCATCCAATCATTTTCATTGATTGAAGCGAGTCGGTGTCTTTTCCTCATAGTCGATAGTAATTGTTCATCAATTCCAACCGTAAGTGACGAGTACCAGCAAATTTCTAAGAAATTTGCTTAGTTCTTAAGCTTCGTGTGTGTGAGTGTGTGTGTGCGTGTGTGTGGGTGTGTGAGTGTGTGTGTGTGGGTGTGTGAGTGTGTGTGTGTGAGCCCGTGTTTGCATCACAGGGTCCTCCTCCATCACTCCTCCTCCTTCTTCTCATCCTCATCCTCATCCTGCTGCTGCTCCTTCTTCCTCCACATCGCAGCCATGGTGGACTCTCCCAGCGCCATGAAGAAAACCTTCGCGGTGCCGGAGATCAAGCCGCTGGACAAGTACGACTCCGCCCGGGCCAGGATGAGCGCCAGCGTCCGGTGGCTGCTGTCCAAGTCGTACGGTTCCGCAGGTACAGGCTGCGGGGGGATGGGGGGCGCCTCTTGGGGTGGGGCGCCGGAATGGCTGATAAATGGAGTTCTGAGTTGTTACTGCTGCTGCTGCTGCTGTTCTTCTGTGTGGGGGAACCGTGAGCATCTTTCCGCTCTGCCTCCTCCTCAGTGATGAAGCCCAGGACTGACGCTGCTGCTCGCGCCGCCGCGGCCTACCGGCGTCCTCCCCCTCTCATTCCCGCCCTCACCCCCCGGTAGATGAGGCTCCGAGCTGCTGCGAGTTTTTCCACCCAATTATTAGAGAATGAGGCTTAAGAGGAGGAAACTGCTCTCGTGGACCGTGGCGCGTGAAAGGAGCCGCACGCGCTGCGACGCCACAAAGCCCATTGTGAGAGACAGTCGGTTCGGCGGTCCGGCCCGCGGAGCGTTTTGGATTCATCTCCACTGAGTCGGTCCGAACAGCAGAGGCTTTATTTCCGCCCCGTGTCCGTCAGGAAGCGGGTTCGGTGAGCCGCGCGTGCCTGTAAATGGGTCAGGGCTTCATAATTGTGTCAGTGTTACGCACGCGGGGTCACTGCGGGAGCGCGCGCCGGTGTGTAGTGAAGGTGACACGGTGAGAAAACGGAGTAGCCTATTATTATTTCTTTCTGTCTGTCTTTGTTTTTAAGGACATGTCTGCCACACAAAAAATAAATAAATAAATTTTAAAAAAATCAAATCTCATAACGGAAATACTACAAATCGTCCAGGGAGACAGTTTGCAGAATCAGCATGTCGCGTGCGTTTGTTCTGCCAGATGCGCGCGCGCAGCCTGCAGCCTCTGCTGCAGCCTCGCTTCATTTCTGATGCTTGGATGACGTTTTTTCTCCTGATCGATCAGAGCATCGTGGTATCGATCCGTCCTTCGTTTTCATTTCAGGCTGATTTATGATCTGGCCTCACCTGGAATACCAACGGAAATCTTTTCATATTCTTCATTTAAATCACTTTCATTCACTCAATAAATATGAACAGTGTAACAAGTAAAAGGAATCATGAATGAACCTTTTATTAGCAAATGAACTATTCAGCTCAGAAGACAAACAAAACCTAAGTTAATTCAACTCTAACGTTTCGTCATGATGACTTTTCAGATGCTCTTTTAAAGGCAGAAACTGATTTATTTGTTTATTTATTTATTAATCTCTCTCAGATTGTTCCACTCACACAAACCTTTCACTGAAACAAACAAAACAAACAAACAAACAAACCTTTAAAATTCTGACGCTTCTGATGAGTCTCATTTTTGTCATGGGGCCCACGATTCCCAGCGGCGCCCCTGATCAGTACTGCTGGCAGCAAAACATATCCTCAGCATGATGCTACCAGCACCATGCCTTACAGTGAGGTTAGATTCTAACACTCCGCTTGTCGTAGTGATCAAGTCGGACCATGATAGCTCTATCGGGTTCACTTGCGAAGGTGACAAATTTTTGTTTTGTTTTTGTTTTTTTCTTGTCTTGTCCAGCATCATGACTTTATTTTTGGGAAAAATCCCACTGCTGTTCCAGCAGCTTGGGTTTGTTCCTGCACTTTAATTAGCCAGTTTTCTTTCACCTCAGTTGCTGGTGTTTGGGTGGACAAGCCTGAAACCTGCACACTGCAGAGGCTGAATCTGACCTTTGACCCAGCTGAGCTTTTCTGTTTCTGGCTCGAGAATTGATCATCGGCTGGTCGCGTCAGGGTCCAAAACTCTGCTGCGTGAAAATACAGTGATTTTTACAAGCCAGTTAGGAAAAAAAAAAAAGGAGCCAGCTTATTCTCATGCAAAAAATTTCAATTATAAAGGCTTTTCTTGGAGTCTGTTCTTTGATGGAGATGACGGGACTGGAGGAGCTGGATTTATGGAAGATGAATGCAGCTCCTTCATGTTTGGAGGCCTGGGCGGTGTGGAGAAAAGGTTGCGTAAATCCTCGATCTTTCCTGGCAATCGCGGGACCTTTTGGCGTAATTGCGAGATCTTATCTCATTTCCGAGATCCGTAACTCGTTTCTTCATCCGTAATTATAGCTTCTTTGGTGAAATGCGATGCGCTTCAGCAGAAACGTGCGCTGGCGGTGACATTGAAACACTCCTTAATTTGTGGATCTGAACATGAGAAAAGTCGATTTTCCCACAACCTGGAATCTACTAATCAATCCCTGCTGAGAATGAAAACGTGTTTCTTTTCCTGCATGTGTGTTTTTGTGCAGTGCCTCAAAATGTGACTTATTTCTCGTTGGTGTTGTTGACATCATGCCTCAGCCCTGACCGGGGACAAATGGCTGCACGGTTTCCTTGGCGACCGAAGGCCCTTTTTCTTTTCTCCCTGGAGCAGCAGAAAGATCGAGGCAGCTCAGCGGATCGAGACACTCGGCTGTAAAGTCCCGCTGATGTGGGTCAGAGGATGAGGGGAAGGCGGGTCTCCCAAATCAGGAGAGATCCAATCACTTCTCGGCCTCGTCAGAAAGCGCGTTCAGACACAGAGCAGCAGCTGATTCGGACGAGCTGCAGAGTCCGAGATTTCATTTCCTTCCAGTTTGAAGGATCATCCAGAACAGGAATGTGGGTCAGCCGTGGAAGTGAGCATGAAAAGATCCACTCACACTGGTCTGAGATGACTGCTCTGTCTCTCTCTCTGTCTTATCAGGGTTGAGCTGTTCATGCACATGATGACATTATCCTCTCCTGACTCTTTACCGTCACCTCATTCCCACTGTGAGGAAAATCGCCTCTGGCTTTTTCCAGAACTTACTCTGTTTTTTTTTATCTTTCCATCTTTCTTCTTCTCTCTTCTTCTACATCGCCTGGCGCAGTAACGCTGCAGTGTCAAGTGCTGCGACCTGCAGCAGAGCCTCACCGGGATTTCCTTATCAGAGAACAATGCAGAGTTGACCTTTTTTTCCCCCTCCTTTCTGTCTTTTTACATCTCATATCTGCAGAAAGGTCAAACATTTCCTGTATCTGCACCAAATTGCTGGGCGTAAAATGACAGATCAGTACCTTTAGTCTTAATGGCTATAATGAAGATTTGATCTTTTTTAATGAACTCATTCAAATTTCTATGCTATCTTCCATTTTTCGGGCACAAAGAGTTTTGCTCTCATCATTGTTCAGCTTCTGCTTTACTTATCTGGTAGCTAAGAAGGATAAAACAGGAGGTCATTTTAGAGCGAAAATATAACAATATAAACTGACGTAAATCTCAATACATCAACAAATCACCTGCTTTGTAGAAATGTGTATTCAGAATGAGTTTCTATTGGTTCCTTCCCTATTATCAAGCCAGTGATAATATTTCACTGTATCTCTGTAGGAACCGGCAAATACATTTTTTTCCACCAAATACTTTAATAATTTATAGTCCTTGAACTTTTCCACGTTTTGTCACTTTTCAGCCACAAACAAAAAAAATTTCAATGAAAAAACAAACAGAAAGTGGTGTGAGCGTATGAAACGAAAAATAAATTATTGTTTTAGTTTTTTTTTTAGTTTGTTACTAATAAAAAGTAATAGTAAAAAATAAACACCTTCCCCATTTTGCTGAGTGGCCTTCACATGTTGCCTGTAGCCTAATCTCAGTACAAATACTGAACACTAAATCTACTGCAAGCCCCTGTAAATGAGTTTCTGATCAAGGATCCTGAATCTGACTGGAAGTTTGGTCTGTTTCAAAGTTGTGGGTCCGGACGGACCGTCTGACTCCAGGTTCTCTTCACTTTTCCAGAAAACGTCCCGGTGGAGCTCCGGGAGCCGCTGTACAGGGACCAGTATGAAGAAGAGTACCTGAAGCCGTCCGTCGCCAAGCTGCTCCTCTCCCCGGAGATCTACTGTCGAACCCAGGCCCTGCTGGCTCAGGGACACAAGGGCCCCGCTCCGGCGCCGCAGGGGCCCCCGACCGACAACTCGGCTTTGCTGCAGTTCCTCACCAAGAAAGGGTTCTGCCCAAAGGTGCGGGAGGCCGACGTCACCGAGGAGGACCTGAGCAAGAACCCCATCAACACGGTGCGTCTCAGAGTCCTACGTTTCCAGAGAAGGGTCATAAAAAAAAAATATATATATATATATATATATACATATATATATATATATATATATATATATATATATATATATATATACATATATAATTATATTTATGTAAGCATTTACTGTTGTAACGTGAACTGTGTCAACGTCAGCGTGTAACGTTGCATAATGTACCAGGAATGCATGATATATCGGCGCTAACATCGGTATCGGCCGATATTAGTTATTTTTTCGCATGGCATTATTGGTCCGATCAGTAAAGCTGCAATCAATATTTATTTCTATCATGTTTTCTTTTTTGTTTCGCGTGACGGAGGATGATCCTGTGATATTTGTTTGGTCATGTGACGGTCAGCAATACTAATATCAAAAATTTATATTGCCGCAAATTTTCATATCGGTGCGTCCGCACATTATGCTGCTGTAGTACAAACAGCAGCATGATATTTGCATTTCTTTCACAAATCAAAAGTGATCGACAAAATTTGACAAAATAACAAAAATTAACCTTCAATTGAAAGTGAAAATGATTTCTACAAAATAATGACATTTAAAACTGAACATGTAGCATAAAATGAGTGACTGAATAAATTCTCTCTCTTCTCCTAATTCACACCCGGTGAAATTGAATCACATTTTATTTAATCATCATCCTGTAGAAATAAGTTTTCACTTTGACATTGAAGGATTTTTGGACATTAACATTTTATTGATCATCATCGATTTGTGAAAACAACAAAAGGCAAAAATATCGATCAGTTTGCTGCCAGTGTTTGATCTGGTACTGATCAGATTGTCTCGGGTCTGATCAATACAGAAAGCGCATCTGGCCCTCATCGACTCGCTGATGTCACTGTCCGCCAAAGAGGCGACCGAGCAGGTCAAGATGGCGGCCGAGGCGGAGCAGATCGGCGTTGGGGCGCCGTGGGAGAACGCTCTCCTGTTCTGGGTCAACCGGGTGAGGATCCAGTACCGACCAGAGTCCCGGTTTCTGTCAGGTTTTGTCATTTAAACCTTAAAGTTTTTATTGGTAATCACAATTTTAAGAGGTTTTCTTTCAGTCAGTAAAGAGACAGAACTTTTATATGAAGAAGAAAAGAAGATTCAATTTCTCAGTAAAAGAAATACCTAAATTATTTTACCACAAAAAAACAAGAAAATGGACGCTTTTCTGTCAGGCTTCATCAAACCTACTTTAAAAAAACAAACTTTTTGCACAGGTAAAATGTTCATGACCCTATGGAAGCCCATTTCTGCCATAAAAGAAAAAAATAAGTCAGACAGCAAGTCATAATTCTGAGTTTTTAGGTCGTAATTGTGAGTTTTAAAGTCAGACTTACAAGATTAAAAGTCATAATTACAAAATTTAAAGTTATAATTTCAACTTTCACAATGTTTCTCAAAGAAGTCTTGCTCCAGAACCTCATAATTACGGTATTGAAAGTCGCAATTATGACTTTGTATCTCACACTTACGATGTCATATCTTATAATTTTGACTTTAAATCTCATAATTACGACTTTGAAAGTCACCATTATGAATTTATATCTCATACTTTAAAACTCGTTGATCGTAAAAGCCCAGCCGGTAACAGCTGCTGCATAAGGACGGCTGCCGTTGATTCCCTCATTGATTTTGCATGAATCCCTCATCCTCTGAAAGCACATGGTGACAGTGGGAAGGAATGTTGACAAATATGGATGGATGGATTTGAGGAATGCTTTTCTTATTTCGGTAATAACTTTGTGTTTGTTTCTCGTGTGTTTTGCACTTTCAGTTGAACCAGAAGTTAAGAGAAAGCACCGAGGAAGAGGAGCTTCCCAAGTCACAAACGTGCACCGATCTGCAGCCTGTTCAAGAATCGGTAAAAAAAAAAAGAAAATTAAATAAATTTTAAAAAGCATGTTCACAGATCAGCCACATAATACATTCAATGGCCTTCATCTGCTAACCTCAACCATGACCAAACACTGCTAACCACACTGTAGCTGCGTTTCCATCACAAATGTGTGCAAAACTTTGCCAATTTTCCGCTAATATCGAAAAAACACAACTGTGGTGTTTCCATCAAGTAAGAAAACGCAAATAAAATCACACCTGAATGAGTTTCTTCAAGTGACAAATCATCAAGAAACATCATTCTCCTGTCACTTCCTGTTGTCCTCTTCCTCACGGTTTTCGCCAGCGGCTCCATCCGGTTGTTGATCACGCCTCTTGTGCGATTCAGGAAATAAAAAAAAGCTTCACCCTAGCGCCAACACTTATATAAGAAAACTTTTTGTTTTTAATTGTCGTGTTTGCGTTAAAGAAATGAGTTTTTGAATCGTCACGCGGTCGATGGAAACGCAGCTTTTGTTGTCTAACAGCTCACACCGGGCCTGAAGCCAGAACCGAAGCTCTTTGTCACTGCTAATTGCTCACACTTAGCGACGTCGCAGCTTCTAACATTGAGCTTCGGTCTGCTTGTGTCTTCTCTCTGTCTTTCTCTGCTTCCCGGCAGTGTCAGTCCAACCGCTGGTACTGGAAACTAGTCCCCGTAAGTGTCCTCCTCTCGTCGTGTCCCTAAAAATGTCTGTCTGCTGTGGCTGACCTCACTGTGCCTGCTGGAAAATGTCGCACATATTTCTTATGTGTCCTCCTGGGAAATAGCTTTTCATTTATTTTCTGTGAAGGATCATTACAGTTACAATATCCTCTGAGGAGTTCAAGGGAGCATTTGTTTGTGTTACGTGATCTGAAGGTGCTTTTTGCTCCAAACCGATGCTTGTAAGCGTGTTTCTGATGTCGGCGTTCAATCGTCGGATTAAGTGAGTCGAGGGAGAGAATGGGGGAGTCAGAAAGAGAAGATGGAGGTGGAAAACAAAAGTAGCCATGACCTCTGAACTCTTCCACGTTTGTCACATCACAAACACAAACATCAGTTTTTTTTTTCTTCTTTGAATCGGTTTTATGTAATAGACCAACAAAAATAGCTCATAGTTGCAAATTGGAAGAAAATGCTAAAAAAAAAAAAAAAATCCGCCAAATTCAGAAAGATTTTTCTTAAAGACTTTTCCACAAATTCTTGACCGGATTTAGATCTGCATGTTTTTAGCCACTCTGTAGCTCTGGGTGTTTGTTTGGGGTCGTTTTTTTCTCGAATTAGTTTTCTTTAAGTTTTGTCCTTTATTTATTTTCCACCCAGTTTCTCCACACATACAGTTTTGCATACAAGCCAAAAAGTCAGAGAATCTTCTTCGAGGTTGTTTACTAATGTTCTCTAGCAAACCTCCAAAGAACTGCAGTGTTTGTTGTTAGATGTAGTTACCAGAGGTGTGTGATGCTGCATATTTAGAGATAAATCAATACGGGATCAGTATCGCCAATACTGATACTTATGCTGATGCCGATACTCTTTATTCAAGTATGATCTTTACGGTGTCTTAGACACACTTGCAACATACATGATAAACAGAAACAATAAAACAAAAAACATATTCGTGTGCAACGTCTTCTGCATAAACAAAGTGCAAAAAAATTACCATTTAAGAAGACACTTTTTAAATTGAGGTAGAGTTTAAAAATGACTATGCTAAAAATAAAATCAAATTTCAAGAGGGACTCTGAAACTAAAGTATTGATCTTATCATGCTGGTACCAATCCGATACTGATACCGAACTCAGTATCGATATTTATCAATCTGCCCACCTCTAAAAATTGCACACAGGTGAAATCTAGTTGCCAGTCAGGAGACATCTGAAGGGAGCTGGTTGAATCAGACTAAAGTGGTCTGCTTTAGTGATTGGTGTCTTTTCAAATTTATATTCGTAAAAAAAAAAAAATTCAAAACCCTCGAATCATTTTTGCTTCAGCTTTACAAATATATCCCACTTTGTATTGTCCTCTATCACTGGCCAAATGTGATTATGATGTGACAAAATGTGTAAAAGCTCAAAAGGTCTGAATACGTTCACATGGCCCGGCGCCTCCCTCTCTTCTTCTTCTTCTTCTTCTCCTCCTCCTCCAGAGCAGAGCCGTGTTGTGCTGTGGCGGTTTTCATAGTGACCGGCCCCCTTGTCATTTATGCCTGTTTCCCTCTCTCTGCCATCCCTCCCCATCCAGCATGCGATCGCTTTTTGTTTGAAGGAGTCGGGGAATAAGCCTCCTGTGGTAACGTATTACACCTCGCTCTTCTCTCACTCCCATCCGACTGACCCACCGATCCATCGCCTCACCACTCACCTTCGACCCCGACTGACTGACCTCTTCAGAGGCCCTGAAGTGCAAAACACTTCAACAAGCCACTAAACATGACTACGCGTTTAAAAATGCAACCAGATATTCAGAAACACAACATTAACTTGGCACAAGCACAAATTAATAAAACACGACGACGTTAGCCAAACACAGAGAGACTGGACGATCCCACTTCTGACACGCAAAAACCAGAAGAACTTCTGGGACCCAGCTCTACCAGTTTGCTAACGTCGTTGTGTTTTGTAGTTTCTGATCGTGCTCAGCTAATTTTGTTATTTTCTTGAATATGTCGAAGCGGTTTGCACTTCAGGGCCACCGTAGGATTTCGCACTAACAGCCGCTCCAACCCCGAGGTTGAACGGTTGGGATCTTAACTCATCTGCTTTCAGCACAGTTCACTCCCACTCATGTTTCTGTCTTGGAACGTCGTGCTAAAGGAGGCAGATCGTCCATGTTTGATGATGGAACATCTTCAACCTCCTCCAGCAATGCGGCAGAAGTCACCGTCAATGCACTCAAAGTCATGCAACATCTTTTCTTTTTCTGTTCGTCTCACCTGGACAATAAACCATCTATGCAGAAACGTTCACGGCTTTTTAATGTGATCTCAAAGACTTAAAGCTACCAGAAGAGGTCCAACTTTTCTGTTTTCGTAGCATGGACACTGGATAACACATCCTTGTTTTTTCACACACATTTTTCTAACCGAGACTCTTTTCATGCCCGGCAGCCATTTTGGTTGGTGTATGTTGGTGTATGTTTGTGTTTATTAAATGCGGCCTGTGCTTTGCTTGTGTGCGATTTTCTTCTAACTGCAAATTGCCTGGCTTCACAGTCCGAGTCATTGCTTGTGGTTCTCATGCGATGGGAGGCTTGTGCTGGCTGGTTCATGTTTACAGGATTCCTACCTTTCATTCCTACAGTCTAAGCTAAAGTATTCTGAACTGTGCACATTTTCAGAGTTCTCTGTTCTCCTGGAAATAACTTCAAACAAATTCCAAACTCTCCCAGACTGCATGGGAACCCTGTAGTTTATTTTGTTTGCCTCTTTTAAGCCTACGTCAAAGTTGCACTTGTGCTCAACACAACTGTTTCCTGTCCTGTCTGAGCTCATCTTTCTTTATTCTTCCTTTGTCTCTGTTTGGGGAGCTCTTCCTTTTTTTTTCTAACTCCCTGTCTAAACATCTTTTGCTGTTCTGTCTCGTTCTCCTCTAGATTCGCTATAGAAAGGACAAAGTGCAGTCCAAGCTGACTCCCACTTTCCCCTTGGTTTCTGCGGTCAAAGATCTGTCTAACGGCTGCGCCATAGCTGCTGTTCTGCACTATTACTGCCCCGGCCTGCTACCTCTAGAGGGTACTAACAAGAACATACACTGCAGTTAACAATCGAATAAACCAAAAATAAGAGACTCGATCATGGTTTCTTGCAGTAACATGATCTTACAAGGAATGTTATATGAAAACATATAACGCGTTGGAAAATCTGCTTCTTTTGGCCAAACGTCAAACTAAGAAAGACGAGAAAACATACCGTTCAACTACAGCTTATGTGTTTCTATAAGTCAAGCAATGACAACAGGAAAATTTATATTGGCCAGCATCGCAAAAAGGCAAACTTATTAAAAGTATTATTGGCCTAAATTCTAGTGCAAAGGTCTTTGTTATGTTGCATCTGCCAATGGAACCAGTAGTTTCTCATCAATATTGAAGAATTATTTACTTATAACAAATTATCTAGCAGCAAAGTTACTCGTTAGTTTTGTCTCATTTCAAGCGTACCAGGATATTTGCACCGGAACGCAGACAAAAATTACTCTGCAAGTTTTGGGTTTTGTCAAAGTAATGATGAAAAGGTTTGAAACGATTAGAAATTCAACAGAATACAAGAATCACCGCCACAAAGCAATCTTTCCTCTGCTCTGGTTCCAGATGTTTGTCTGAAGGACACCATGTCTGTGGCCGACAGCGTCTACAACCTACAGCTGATCAAGGAGTTTTGTGAGAGCAACTTACAGAGCTGCTGCCCCCTGGCTGTGGAGGACCTGCTGTACGCTCCACCAGCTCTGCACGTAGGCATACAGATCCTTCACACTGATGATGATATTGCTGCTCACACTGATGAGGATCCTGCAAAGATCCTGTGTCATCTGCCATTTCTAATTTTTGTCACTACACCAGCGCTCTTTGCGTTTCTATGCTAGTTTCTAAGCGAGCAGATCACTAAAAGAGGTATTGCTCTTTCCAAAATTTTCTTCTGTTTCCACATTTTGGACTTGCTGTTCCACTTAATCCTGGCAGCTGGCTATGTCTGTGTATCTATTAATAAGTGAGGAAAGTGGACAAGTGAAGGGCTAAGTAGACATCAAAGTATAAAGAAATGGTGGTCTAAAATGTTTGCACAGTGCTTTTTAGATTAAAAAAGCGTAAATGTTCTCAAGTATGTTTTTGTGTACAAAGAGCCTCTTGGAGAACAACAGTCGGGTGAGATGTGGTCGACTTATTGCACCGGGATGGAGAAGGACTGATCACTTAGCGACCGCTAGTTAGCAATCAACATGAGACCTGAGCAGAGAATTGAGTGGGAATGCTTTTTGTTGTGGTCTTTGGCAGTATTGTGATAAATGGCAGTGTGACTATTTAATCCCCTGCAGCTGAATATGATGAGCTTCATAGCGGAGCTGCTGGAGTGGTTTGAGGTCAAGAAGCCTGATTTTGTGAAGCCCATCCAACCCATTGACCTCACAGGTTGGTGCCTCCTCAACTCTTCATTTGCTTCTATCGTGGCTATGTGCGCGTTTCAGAAACACACACCCTGTGTTTGTACGTGTATCTTCTAGACGTCTCAGGATTACTTGGCTGTGCAAGTCCTGTCAGCGGGAACAGCAACAGGTACCAGCAACTTCCTGTTGGACACACTTGATGCATTTGATGTTGGAAACCATTTCATTGCAAAATCATTTGTAACTGGTAAATACAGAAGCGACTGTTACTCTAAAATGCGGAAAACTCGTGGATACAATTGCTATAGTTTGGTGAAACGTCCGTTGTTAAACTAAAAGCTGCAGTGAATGCTGTTTCACCTCAAATGAGGGAATAAAAGGTCAATTGGAGATTCTCCATGTTCTAATTCTCTCAAGGCATTTCACGTTCGAACGTACAGCCGAGGCTTTGGACTTCTCGCATTTTGACATCTATGGCTGTCATTTGCATAGGCGGATTCTACAAAAACATTTGGAGCAACACGAAAAGAGAAAGCTCAGATGTGAGCTTACGGCTCACATCTGAGGTGTGAGTGAAGTCTACTTTGTGCTAAAAGGGAGTCAATGTAGAGGGATGATATTAAACTTTTTTTTTCTGTTTCAAGTTATTTCAGAAATGTTTTTTATGTTTGCTTGTTATCTGTAAATTTGTCTGTTAAGCATAAACACTCAGAAATGCTAAAAGCTAAATAACTGGGTGTCTCTAACGCTCTCATTTCTCTGGTAGTGGCTCCCCATCGTTCATCTTCAAACAGCCTTTTGTGCCCATCTCCTCCCCAATGTCTCCAGGTCTGATAATCTCCACTTTGCATCTCAGCAGCATTGTACACTTTTTTACACTTTCATTGATTGTGTTCAACAACCCTTTGCAGAAAACAAGAGCTGGACAAAGAAACAAATCAGGTAGGTAAACACAAAAGCTTCTTTTTTTATTATTATTATTGTAAATGTGTCGTATTCGTATTTTAATTTCTTTACTCTTCTTATGTTGGCTTCTGTGGTTTCTGCTTCTCAAACGCTCTTTGGCATCCATCTTTGTGTCGTCACCCACCGCTCCGCAGTCGTCCTCTGTCAGCAGTGACTTTCAGCATCCCATTCGGCCTGGACAGTGATGTTGACATTGTCATGGGAAACCCAATAGATTCTGTCTTTCGCTCTGTCAGCACCGACAACCTCGCCACGGGCATCCCGGCTCTGAGCTCACCGGCAGCGGCAGCAGGGATGACTCGCGTCCCCTTCAGCCCCCCGGAGGACCTGAGCCACCTGGTCAGCGCCTCGGCCCCATCGCAGCGTTCCTCCTGGGTCCCCTATGCACAAACGGCACCGTTAGGAGAGCTGCCGACCATCGAGGAGGCCCGGCAGGTGGTTCACAAACCCGGTGGCAAAGACAGAAAGAAGGGAAGATCGACAGAGAAGAGTGGACGAGATGGGCTCACAAGCCGGCCGGAGCCAAGGCTGTGTCCAGAGGGAGCTCCTGCAGGGTTCTTTCTGCACTCCCCTGAAGTGGACGGTCCCCTGCTCAGCAGCTCGGCTCCCTGTCGCTCTGGCATTCAGTACCGACCGGTCAGAGGGGATGCCGGGAGTGCTGAACGGCAAGGTCGGAGAGAGAGATCAAGAAAGCACTCTGACATGTCGCGTGACGACGACTCCGTCTTGAGAGATGGCAGCATTGACTCATCCGAAGCATCAGATGACGCTACCAGAAACGCCCCTGGGAATATTCGGCCGTCTGCTGGCAGGGAGAGTCACAACAGCAGCAGCCCACGCATGACGAGCTTCGCCGAGCGCCGGGACAACAAACGGAGACACCCCACCACACCCGGGGAAGAGTTGACTTCCGCTCCGACCCCAACGACCCCGACCCCAGGCACGCCACACACTCCCTCCACGCCAGTGTCCAGTCAGCAGGGGAGTCCGGGTCTCCGAGGGCCAGAGCCGGGCTCTGAAGCCTGGGAGCTGGGTGCCCGACTTGAAGAGAAGCGCAAAAATATCGAGGCCCAAAAGCGACGCATCGAAGCTATTTTTGCGAGGCACAGGCAGAGACTGGGAAAAAATGCTTTCCTTCAGCTGAAAAGAGAGCAAGGCGAGGGGGGAGTGGAGGGCACAGAGGAGGATGGCTTGACCCTTGAGGAGCGTCTGACTCGAATGGAGGAGCAACTGAAACAGGAGGAGGAGAAGGAGACGGAGAAAGACAAGCCGCCTGTTTCCAACCCTCCTCGTTTGGAGAAACAGGTCACCTTCTCTGTGGACAGTAAGAAAGCAGGCGAGAAAGAAAAAGGAGCAGAGATGGGAGAAAAAAAAGGAACGGAGAAAGGAGGGGAAGGTGTCATCGTGGAATACAATGAGGTGGTGCAGAAGTTGAGTGAGGCCCTGCAGTCTCTCCAAAAAGACATGCAAAAACTAACGGAACAGCAGCAGCAGCTCATGAGCAACCAAAGGCCTAGGAATACGCCCAAAACCGCCCCAAGAAGTAGTTCCAAAACTCCTCCTCACACTCCAACAAAGACACCACCCAGAACACCGACCAGGACCCCCTCCAGGAGCGCCACTAAGGCCTGGGTGATCCCTGCTGCTTCCAACACCCCGCCTGCCTCCTCCCCATCCCGCCGCTCCCACCTGCCTTCCTCCTCCGCCTCTCCCAAAGCAGTCATCTCCAGCTCCTGCCCAGCTCCTCGAACTAAGCTCCACTCCTCCTCCTCTTCCCCTCGCAGCCCCAAACACAACACCCGTCCCCACCACCACCAGCCCCACCCACGGCCCTCTGAGCTCAAGTTCCCTCCGCTCAACCGCGTTTTGACGCCCACCCAAAACGTGGACACCATCCCGCACCTGCGCCGCGTCTCTCCTAGCAAGTGTCAAGTCCAGACATCGTCTTCCTTCCGCATCGGCGGACCTCGGACCCCTCAGGAGCCTCCCCTGCCCATTCAGCAGCCGCCGCCGCCGCCTGACGAGAGCACCTCAGACACAGGCTCGAGTGAGACGCCCACCCAGTTCAGCCTGGAGCTGGAACAGGAGGACTCAGAGTCCATCGGGGCACTGCCGGTCTTGCCTCAGTTCAGACAAGAGAGGCCGAGGGCCGCCGGAGGCAGCAGCTCCGGCGCTCCTTCTGAGTGCTCGTTTGAGAGCGACACGCTGTCCCTTTCTGCCGCGTTCAGCACAGGAGGTGAAGGAGAAAGAGACGACGGTCCTCGGCAGCCCTGCCCGATTGCGGTGTCCCTTTCATCTGTTGGAGGGCCAGAGGTGGGCAGCGACGAACCGACTGATGAGGGCCAGGAGTTTTCCTCTGATTCCATGAGCGACCACACAGAGTCTGCTACCGAGGCTGCAGGAGGACCAGCTCCTCAACAGCAAGGCGCAACAAACCCACTTCATGGAGCCACAGAGGGCAGCGACAGGCCGGAAGCGCAAACGGAACCGGTAGAGGAGCACAGCGGATTCACCGAGGCAGCAGAACCACGTGGGGAAAAGAAAGAACACGGGACAAGAGGAGGAGTCGGGTTCTTCTTCAAGGTTAGTTTGAAAATGCTGCGCAGCAACAAAATCACAGCATGTCTGAAAGCTCAGGAACAAATGCAGGTTTCTAAAACTCTCTGCTCTTCAGTGTTTCCCTGGGTTCCTGTTTACTCGCCACATGTACAGAGTTTGATTTGTAGTTCCCTATTTTATGAAGCATATGGCAGACAGACTGATTCATTACTATAAAGTAGAAGGAAAACGAAACTTGACTTTCAACGTTTTCTTTTACAAATAAAAGAGTGAGAAGATGCTGTTAACTACAATCCAGTGCAACCAACTAGTGACTAATTTAATTCAATTCAGTTATTTTTATGTAGCACCATTTCACAATCAGCATCGCCTCAGCATCAGTTCAAGCACACATCCATTCCAGTTGATCCTAATCATCAAGGAGTGCATTGAGCTCAATTAATTATTAAAACTACAAAGTACTTCTCAGTGCAGATAGTTGTAAATGGCATAATGTAGGAGTATTGTTGTGATGATGTGCAGAAAGCAGGGAGCAGGAAAGAGCAGGAGCTTCTTAAAGAGACAGAGGCCCAGTTTCAAGGCGACAAATTTCAAAATCAAGTTTCTTTGAAGTCATGCATGACATATATAACTTTTTTTATAATGACTGAAGGTAACATAGTTACTCGATTGTGCTATAAAATGCCTCTACAAGCCTAGAAAATACATAACACCGTCCCTTCAAGGTTCCTGGTTTTCCGTTAAAAGTTTTTTGCATTTTAAATAGGACGTTGTCGGTTCTGTGGGTGACGGTGCATTCGTGTGTTTGCAGGAGGACGTGCACAGCGAGGGGGAGATGGCTCAGCGGAGAGCTCTGCTGTTAGAGAGACAACAGAAGAGAACAGAGGAGCTGAGACGGAGGAGACAATGGCATGAGCGGGAGAGAGAAACCAGGTGGACCCTTTGCAGACTTTCTGTTGTTTAAATGCTTAAACTCAAGCTGCGAACGTGACGTAAAACCTTCTCCCTTCTGGTCCTCAGACCGGCGTCCTCTGAAAGAAGAGCGCCGTCGCCCGCCAACACCTCGCCGTCCCCCACCCCGCCCGCCACCCCGGCACGCCGCGGCGACTTCACACGAGGGGAGTACGAGTGGCGGCAGCAGCTGAGGATCATGGAGGACCTGGACAAAGTCCTGAAGCAGAAAACGACCAACCACCCGGGTCGGACGGCCACAAAGAAAACCCGCTCACGGCCTCGCAGCATGACCCGGGAGGAAACTAAGCTGTCTCTGAGTCCAGCCAAAGGGGCTGCTGGTAAAATAAGAAAGGAGAAGAAGGCGGGGGGGGAAACGAGGCAGCGGCATGTGTCAGTCAAACTGACCGAACTTTGTTTCCTCAGGTTCTCAGCTGACGAAGGTCTACTCACACTCCTCACTAAACCTTGCAGCCACAGATGAGCCTGGAAACAACGGCGACTCCACGAAGAAAGCCCAGAGGTACGCCGCCATGTTGGACTGCGCTTCACGCCTTTCCCTCAAAATAAGACCCAATGTTCTAACGTCTCTAAAAGAAAGAAAGAAATAAAAATGTTTTGGGGGTTTTTACTCAAACATAAGAGATTTGGTCTTAGAATTTAATTGGGTAGGAAATTTGCATATAATTTCTGCCATCAGGGTCACAGACTATCACAACTCGAAAAGTCTTGGCTCAGAACATCTCTGCAATTTACCGTATAAAACGACCCCAAAAGGAACTGCACAGAAATGTATTTTGACCTTTTGAAACTCAAAAGTTTCCACGTGTTTTGATTCTAGAAAATCCCTGTAAATTTCCTCCTCTTTGCTCTGTCAACAATGGACCTGACACACAGTGTCCAATATTGCTGCAAACACGTCGGATTTAGCAAAATGCTACTTTCCTAATTCCGTTATGAGGCGACATTTGCAGCTGAGGCCCGCCAGGTGAGATGAAGGCTCAGCGTTGTCCTGCTGTTTGTTTTCTCTCCGGCAGCCGCGTCGATTCGCCTTCACGATGTGTGACGCCAGGCAGAGCCATAAATCAGAACGGAGACAGAGACTGGGAGTCTGGCTCCAATGGGACCTCGCCTGCCCCAGAATACACAGGTACGGCACGAAACGCTGCAGACATGCATTCAGCATAGTGAGGAATATTAGCACCAGGTCACAGTTTCCTGCTGAATAACTGACAAATCCAACGTGAATCGCTTTCCCTTCCAAGGGATCAATTCCTGTCATTTGTATTGATCAGTTCTGCTGTCGATCAAATCAGAGACAAAGTAGATGTCACTTAAAGATATTGATAAGGTCGTCTACTTTTCCCATATCAAATGCTGTCTATTTGATATGGAAAAAATAAATTTTAATACCTTGAAATTAGGCCTCTGCCACTTTAAAGGCTCCTGCTCTTTCTGAAACTCCGCCTTCGGGAAGTCATCACAATGTCTTTACCAGCGTTGCTCTGAAGAGTCGTTCGTATCCTGAGCTCAGCAGACGTCGCAGCTGATGTTTGCTAATTGCTGCTGGCTAGTCTGAAGGAGCTGAGTGGAGCGGTGCGCTGTGAGGCGGAGCTTGGTCCACCCAGGCGTTTTGGACAGCTCAGTGGTTGCTGTGGGGGATTAAATGATTTGTCAAACAAGCATGAAAGAATCAAATTAACAGTCCAGGAACATTTTTGATGACGAAATAACAATACTTGATGTGAACCTCAAAATAAGTTGATTTTACACAACGCTGCCCACTTAAAAATAACAAACAATTGGGAGTTTGCCTAGACTGAAGGTTTTGAGGCTCTGCACTCACTCAATCATGGCAATAAGATTCTGGACGCCACTGAAATTTGAGGCGAGGGTCTTAGTGAGCGAAGGAGAAGGTAAGCGGTGGAAACGTCACATGTTTGAATGCCATCATTTTCAGTTTTCGCTCATGGCTTTCTGTTTTTCAGGTCCAAAACTCTTTAAAGAGCCAAGCTTGAAGTCCAATAAGTTCATTATTCACAACGCTTTGTCGCGCTGCTGCCTGGCCGGGAAGGTGAACGAGTCACAAAAAAACAAGATAGTCGAGGTGGGGGTTTCATTTCTTCTTTCTTTTTTTTATTTTTCTTTGAATGTACAGAAACTCTTCTGATTGCGTGCAAAAATGGGAATAAAAATGTTGATTTCTTCACTTCGCCGCTCCTCCAGGAAATGGAGAAGAGCTCCGCCAACCACTTCCTCATCCTCTTCCGCGACTCCAACTGTCAGTTCAGGGGCGTTTACACCATGAGCCCCGACAGCCAGGAGCTGGTGCGGCTGGCGGGCGTGGGGCCGCGCTCCGTCAGCTCCGGCCAGGTGGAGTCCATCTTCAAATACAGCTCCGACAGGAAGCAGTTCAGCTCCATCCCGTCCAAAACCATGGGGATGAGCGTCGACGCCTTCACCATCCCCAGCCAGCTGTGGCAGGGCGGCGGCGGCGGTGGAGGCGCAGGGGCCAGCGGCAGCAGGAGGGCCAGCGTCACTAAGAAGGTGGCCGTCTCCAAGTGAGGACGGCTCTGCTTCGGTTATTTCAGCGAAAAAAGCTATTCTGATACACAACAAGAGTTATTTATGTGAACGCAGACGGATCCTCGTGGGTTAGATTTTTTTTTTTTTTTAAGTACAAAGAAAACAATAAACTGCTATCTCTGTACGTCTTTAAAAATGTCCACTGTGCAACTATAGCAGAACAGCAGCATATTCTAAAAGAGGAAATGGGGCATTTCAGTTTATACCCATTAATTGTTTGAAGTTCAAACTTGAGCTTTTCTGTTGAAAGAAAATCCGACACTTTTTGATTTGCACATAAAAAAAAACAACTTTTGGATAGTTCCTGTTTCTCTTGGCCTCAGAAAATGCCTTTCAAGACAGATCGACTGACTGAACTTTTTTATTTATTTTTTTTAAATTTATTTTTACTTTGATGTTAACTCTCCCAGTCCCTGTTGCCATGTGGATGAAAGCACATTAAATAGCCATAAACAAGCGACGCCGAGATGAAGTTTGAGGACGTTGTTCGGATGTTATTTATTTCTATCGGTTTTCACAACTGCAGCATGAATGGTTCTTTACTCTATGTGGTGAAATGATATGACAATGTACGCTTGTGATTTAATGAAATTGACCTCGTGCGAGCATTCGATGCTGATTTTAAAAAACTGCTTTTGTACAGCGAACTTTCAGCGTAACAACGACTGATGTGCGAGAGGAACCTGGACTGTCGAGCTCTCAGGTGGAGATGAGTGCTGATGGCCGACAAATAAACACAAACTTGGATCTGAGAGGATGACTTAACTCGTTTTTTGTTTTATTTCAGAAATGTGCATGATGCATTTTTGAACAATATAATAAATCTCAAAAAGGAGAAACTAAAACTGAGTCTGAGGAGTGAAGGAAAGTGGGGTCCGTCGCTTAAATGTAACTGGTGTACAATGTGGTGAAAAGCAGTTCATGCTGTGATGGCTGTGACTTCTAGGTGGCGCGGTTGCAGTTGGACCAATGTTCTGGTGCTGCACGTTAGAAACTAAGTAGAAAGGATATGTATAAACATATGTATATAAAATCATGACTAGTTAGAAAGATGACGTGTCATTTCCATTAGTTTCTGACAGCTTGGTGTTAGCTGATGCTAAAAGGTGACACCGTTTGCTGCGTTTAACACTGTTTAGATTGAAGAGCAAATCTTAAACTAACTTGCAAAGTTTGGGAAATTATATACAAGTACAAAAGACGGCATCTGTTTAAAGCCTGGTGATACATTCATTTCTCCTTTTTTGCATCTGCTTCAGCCATTTGCTCCATCATTCTTCCAGTCCGTTGTTCCTGCACCAGTCGTCAGAGCTAAAGAGGTATTCCAGCCTGTCCTTTTCCAGAACAGCAATAGGAGTTTAGTGTTTACAGTGAGGTCATGTGGCACTTGGCTAATGCTCTGTTGTTCAAACCTTTTGATTGGCCTTTACCAATCAATCGATCGACAACAGACAACAGTCTGCCTCTGGATCCAAACAAAAAGAAATTTTACTTGCTGAGTGTTTTTGCATTTTACTCTTTTCACGTTCATTTCTTTGGATCCTGATCTATTTCATGATTTAGATTTTTCTGCCTAAAGAAAATAAACAATCAAACTAAAACACAGAAACCATTTTTAATATTTTGATTTTCATCCTTCCAGAAGCTCTTCATATAAACTCAGGTATGACTGTTTTTTTACTCTCCAATTTTCCAGAATAATTAAACTTCCTTAAGCTGAATTTTGTGAAATATGATTTTGAAACTGATGGAATGAGCCTTTAATGAGAGAAGGTGTAGTTTTAACCATGTAATAATAATCAATAGACATCCTAAGTTGCCCTTAGTAAAACTATTGTCAATGTAAAACTGCAATTCAACGGTTAGTCCAGTAAAAACAGAAACTATGTTTATAAAAAATGGTTTATTTGTTCTAATCAAAAATGTTCATGTTTCCCACTTCCTCCTAGTCCACCATCACTTAACTTATTGTTTTATTGGATTCGTGCTTATAATTGTGTAACTCTGTATACTGATATCAGTTCAATATCTGCAAGGGGGGGAAATGCATCTGCATGTAATTTTCTACAAAGTAGAGCTTTTCATCACATTATATCTATTCTGGCTTCTCTATACTGAATTCCTGCTAATATCAGGAAAGTTCAAACTGTGTCTTTTGTGTCCTAATCTTAGTTCAGCCCTGATAAATCAAATAAATGCTGTTCTGAACATATTTTCAGGGCTCTACAAAAGCAAAGGCAGTGAAGCCATATCAAGTAATAGACATTCGTTCAACGTCAAATGCAAGTTGTATCTAAATAAACAATCCTGAGTGACTATATCAAAAGAGCTTGGCTATCAGCTGATTAATGCTGGTTCTGACCGAGCTGAGTAATTCTGCAGAACACAAGGAGGAGATCGATTAATTTCCCCAGAGAAATTAATCTCTGGGGAGACTTTCTCTGCCCTTATGTTAGGAAAGCGAAAGTTGGGATATATATCTAAAATTGTTTAGTTTAAAGTGGGAGCATCAAACTCCAGTCCTTGAGGGACGCTGTCCTGCAGTTTTTAGATGTGCAACAGGAACAAAACACTGGAATGAAACGGCTTAATTACCTCCTCCTGGTGTGCATAAGATCCCAGAACCTTAATGACCCAATTACTCTATTCAGGTGCAGCAGAGGCTCATCTAAATATATATATATATATATATATAAAAAATAAAAAATTATAAAAAAAATATATATATATATATATATATATATATATATATATATATATATATATATATATATATATATATATATATATATATATATATATATATATATATATATATTTATTTTTATTTTTTATAATATAGTCATTATTTCAGACTTTGGCAGGAAGCCGAAGCGCCCGGAGAGAAACCTGCAAATTTCTTTTTTATATGTCATTTATGAAATTTAATTACAAAATGTATGACAGACATTTTGTAATTACGTGTCAGAAATACATTTAATTATTTCTGAGCTTTTATTCTGAAATAAAGGCTCTAGGGAAGAGAGTTATGAGAGAGGGGATTCAAACCCAGGACTTTGTTGCTGCAAGGCAACAGTTCTCCCAACTGAACCACTGTGCAACTGTTTTGTTCACAAAATTAATGTTTTATTCACATCTAAGGAGAATTTAGAGGCCAATTACCCAAACAGTCATGATTTTAGACTGTGGCAGGAAGCCGGAGCGCCCGGAGAGAAACCTGCAAACAGGAAACCTGTCTTATCTTTTTACCCATCCATCCCAGAAAATTTTCAGAAACTAATTTAGAAATTTCTAGCTCCTCTCAGCTTTAACGCTTTTGAGAGGAGGGGCTGGAGAAAACTTTTATTTCAAATCTATCTCTTCCTTTCTTTTCGTAGACATACAGAAATCCCCTCCTGTTCATGTCTTCACTGCAGACAGCCGCTGCAGTGAAGACATGATCATCAATGGCTTTTACTACCTGAGCTCCGTGAGGTATGCATGTGTAGAATTTGGATTTGTCAGAACCATTGCAGATGACCGATGAGAATTTGTAGACTTCTGGTCCATGTTCTCCCTGTACAGTGAGGGACTGGTTGGGGGTCAGTTTATTGCGCTGGCCTAGTCTGGCTGACTGCGGCAGGTGGAACACCAACACATTGTTGTTCGTCAGGCAGTGCTTGTAACTCAGCTCTGCTCCACAGCCAGGACAAATTGTTTTGAGCCCTAAAGTTAACCACGGTCTAAAAAGTGTTTGGATGTTGTCCTCAAAACGAGGTGTTGGCAGTTCAATTACAGGGCCATTGCTTAAGAGCTCCAAACAATTAGCCTGGCATGTGGAGCAGCTGCCCTGACTGAACAACTCTGTGTCGGTCTTTCCACCAAACGAGTCCAGCCAGACTAAAACCAGCTCCACCAAAGATCTTACCTCGAATTCCCCGCCCTTTCCCAGGTCCCTCACTGTCAGTTCTTCCAGGATTGGCTTTATCTCCTCAGGAGAAACATGTTTGCCGGGATTGCGAATTGCTGATAGAATTAAACCAGAGCAGGAGGGAATTGGCGACGCCTCCAAGAAGATCTTCTCCTGAGCGAGACATCGCTTCGTCTCGCTCAGATTCAGGACAGATTGTAACGCGGCGTTCACCCAGCTGTTAGTCAAATTATTTGAAAACTTGCAAAGGTTTTCTGAAACGTCCCTGTCCTCTTCGGTGTCCGGTGGAGCTTCTGTCATCTGCATGTTTTCTGCCCAAAACATTTGCTCTAAAAGGTCAACGTCCCCCTCCGGGTCCATTGATCCTTGTATACTCATTCGCTGTAATGTCTATGGGAAGTGAAAACTAAACACTTTATCTCCATGCAAGGAAGGCCACGGGAAAAACAGCGAGTTCCCAAATAACTGTCTGGGGAAGTTCAACAACCCTGGAAAACTTACTTCACATCATGTTTCATTAGTTTGTACACCATTTTCAGCTGCACAGAAAAACACCTTGACTGTGAATCAAAAAATATTACATTTATATTATACATAAACGAACATCATTTAATATAAATAAAAAGTCTTCACCAGCCAGACTTGCATTGTCCCCAACGAGTTTGCTCTCTTCCTCAGAGAGAACTACCCCAGCCGGGGCAGAGCTCTCTGAGGGTGAGAGGGCTACCCCAGCCGGGGTAGCCTGGTCGTTGGGGACCCTCACACACTCAGTTGCCGAAGAAACCTTCCCCGCCGGGTCGGTTTCTTCCATGTCCGTACCATCAAAATCTGAATCTGTGTCACTAAAGTATTCCAACATTTTCTCCATGCCTTTAGTGATCATGTATCCGAGTCCCCAGCCGAGCGGCAGGGCAAACGGCACGAGAGCGTGAGAAAAATTAATCATATCTACGAAACACTAATAATGTAGGCGATGTCTGGATCCTGAATGTTCAATGTCTTGAGATTCCAACGTTTAAAGGCTCAGAACATCTTTGATCTATTGTGATGTATGTGATGTCATCAATGACCTCATCAATGAACTCACTGTAGTTCTGTGGCCCGGTCTTCCTTCTGATCGTTGCAATGGAAACGATCAGATCAGCTCTGCATGACTCAAATTATAAATGAAGTCGTGACTAAATATAGAACAAATTTTTAAAATTTATTTAGCATGAAGAGATTAACGATAGATTTATATTTGACTGAACTGTTGCATTCGTATTTATACATAATATTCATTTTGTGAGCAATATTTCTACACTTGAATTACTCGTCTGATCTTTAGTTTGTTTGACACAGTGCAGTGTGAAAGTGAACGGCTGAAAATGTAATAAATGTTGCATTTTTGGCCCCAAGTCAAACCGAGCTCTAACACTCAGGATAGTGTTGTGAAAAATCATCATGTATTCTAAACCCGATAGACCAAAAACGTGCAAGCGCACGAGGAGGAAATCAGCCAACACAAAGCAATCAGACTTTACGTTCTTTATTCTTTTTAGCGCTAAAAAAGAGACTACACCATCACAGACTATAAGTGAAAACAAGGGGCCCCGAATCTTAAAAACGAGAAGATTTGTTGCATATAATCTAAGAATACGCCCAGTGGTCATCCAATGTCCTGCGTCACCTTAAACTCTATTTTCTTGGAGATGGGAGTGAGGAGATGATTCAGTTTCTGTATCTGTTACAAATACAAAGGCCTTTGTGTGAAAGTATGAGAGTGTAATGTGTGTAGAAGCATATGTGTGTATTTGACCTTGGTAAGCGCCTCAACAATCCTCAGGGCTTTTCACCGTGACCCGTTGATCTCCAGCACCACGTCTCCCAGCAGCATCACAGCTGCAGAAAACCTTTATTTATTACACACAACTTTAACTTGGTTTCATTATATAGAAAACATTTGGAAGATTTTCCCTCGAAGAAGTATCACATTTTGAGTTCTGGGTTGATTTCTTAACATTTTTTAAGAAGTCAACCTTAAAGATTTCTGATTTACGACACTAAAAAAAGTGAAATTATGAGAATAAAGTCACATGAGAAGTTGAAACAATAAAGAATAAAGTAGTATTCCAAGAATAAAGTCATAATATTATGATTTTTTTCTTGTAGTATAGCTTATTTTTTCTTAGTAGGGCCCTAATACTCTGTGTTGATCACAATTTTTACTCTACTTTAAAAGTTACTCTAAAAAGTTACTCTACTTTAAAATCATTCAAAATATGTTCATCACATTTTATGCGCAGAATCAGCCTTGAGCTGTTTTAGAGTCTCTGTCACTTTAAATCCCAATAAGCTCCTTCTGGCCACGCCCCCAACTCAACCTTTACACTTACGCCAAATTGGCTGCCACCAGGTGCGCAGTTAGACAAAATGGCTGCCACCAGGTGCGCAGTTAGACAAAATGGCTGCCACCAGGTGCGCAGTTAGACAAAATGGCTGCCACCAGGTGTGCAGTTAGACAAAATGGCTGCCACCAGGTGCACAGTTAGACAAGCGTACATCTTTGACCCTGAGTCAGACCAAAAAGCAGAAGAAGTGGAGCCTCCTGCGCAGTGAACAAGAACCCAGCTGGTGGTTTCTGAATTGTAAGTCAAACACAAAACAGCTGTCTTTTCCAGCAGCCATTTTGCATAGCATGTAGTGGTAAAACTAGCTAACCTGAGTGTTACAGCTCGGTTTGACTTGGGCCAAAAATGCAACATTTATTACATTTTCAGCTGTTCACTACCACACTGCACTGTGTCAAACACACTAAAGATCAGACGAGTAATTCAAGTGTAGAAATATTGCTTACAAAATGAATATTAGGTATAAATACGAATGCAACAGTTCAGTCAAATATAAATCTATCGTTAATCTCTTCATGCTAAATAAATTTTAAAAATTTGTTCTATATTTAGTCACGACTTCATCAATAAATTTGAGTCATGCAGAACTGATCTGATCGTTTCCATTGCAATGATCAGAAGGAAGACCGTGGCACAGAACTACAATGAGTTCATTGATGAGGTCATTGATGACATCACATACATCACAATAGATCAAAGATGTTCTGAGCCTTTAAATGTTGGAATCTCAAGACATTGAACATTCAGGATCCAGACATCGAACTACATTCTCAGTGTTTCGTAGCTATGATTAATTTCTCTCACGCTCTCGTGCCGTTTGCCCTGCCGCTCGGCTGGGGACTCGGATACATGATCACTAAAGGCATGGAGAAAATGTTGGAATACTTTAGTGACACAGATTCAGATTTTGATGGCATGGACATGGAAGAAACCGACCCGGCGGGGAAGGTTTCTTCTCCCACTGAGTCTGTGAGGGTCCCCAACGACCAGGCTACCCCGGCTGGGGTAGCCCTCTCACCCTCAGAGAGCTCTGCCCCGGCTGGGGTAGTTCTCTCTGAGGAAGAGAGCAAACTCGTTGGGGACAATGCAAGTCTGGCTGGTGAAGACTTTTTATTTATATTAAATGATGTTCGTTTATGCATAATATAAATGTAATTTTTTTGATTCACAGTCCAGGTGTTTTTCTGTGCAGCTGAAAACGGTGTACAACTAATGAACCAAGATGTGAAGTAAGTTTTCCAGGGTTGTTGAACTTCCCCAGACAGTTATTTGGGAACTCGCTGTTTTTCCCGTGGCCTTCCTTGCATGGAAATAAGTGTTTAGTTTTCACTTCCCATAGACATTACAGTGAATGAGTATACAAGGATCAATGGACCCGGAGGGGGACGTTGACCTTTTTGGAGCAAATGTTTTGGGCAGAAACCATGCAGATGACAGAAGCTCCACCGGACACCGAAGAGGACAGGGACGTTTCAGAAAACCTTTGCAAGTTTTCAAATAACTTGACTAACAGCTGGGTGAACGCCGCGTTACAATCTGTCCTGAATCTGAGCGAGACGAAGCGATGTCTCGCTCAGGAGAAGATCTTCTTGGAGGCGTCGCCAATTCCCTCCTGCTCTGGTTTAATTCTATCAGCAATTCGCAATCCCGGCAAACATGTTTCTCCTGAGGAGATAAAGCCAATCCTGGAAGAACTGACAGCGAGGGACCTGGGAAAGGGCGGGGAATTCGAAGTAAGATCATTGGTGGAGCTGGTTTTAGTCTGGCTGGACTCGTTTGGTGGAAAGACCGACACAGAGTTGTTCAGTCAGGGCAGCTGCTCCACATGCCAGGCTAATTGTTTGGAGCTCTTAAGCAATGGCCCTGTAATTGAACTGCCAACACCTCGTTTTGAGGACAACATCCAAACACTTTTTAGACCGTGGTTAACTTTAGGGCTCAAAACAATTTGTCCTGGCTGTGGAGCAGAGCTGAGTTACAAGCACTGCCTGACGAACAACAATGTGTTGGTGTTCCACCTGCCGCAGTCAGCCAGACTAGGCCAGCGCAATAAACTGACCCCCAACCAGTTCCTCACTGTACAGGGAGAACATGGACCAGAAGTCTACAAATTGTCATCAGTCATCTGCAATGGTTCTGACAAATCCAAATTCTACACATGCATACCTCACGGAGCTCAGGTAGTAAAAGCCATTGATGATTATGTCTTCACTGCAGCGGCTGTCTGCAGTGAAGACATGAACAGGAGGGGATTTCTGTATGTCTATGAAAAAGAAAGGAAGAGATAGATTTGAATTAAAAGTTTTCTCCAGCCCCTCCTCTCAAAAGCGTTAAAGCTGAGAGGAGCTAGAAATTTCTAAATTAGTTTCTGAAAATTTTCTGGGATGGATGGGTAAAAAGATAAGACAGGTTTCCTGTTTGCAGGTTTCTCTCCGGGCGCTCCGGCTTCCTGCCACAGTCTAAAATCATGACTGTTTGGGTAATTGGCCTCTAAATTCTCCTTAGATGTGAATAAAACATTAATTTTGTGAACAAAACAGTTGCACAGTGGCTCAGTTGGGAGAACTGTTGCCTTGCAGCAACAAAGTCCTGGGTTTGAATCCCCTCTCTCATAACTCTTCCCTAGAGCCTTTATTTCAGAATAAAAGCTCAGAAATAATTAAATGTATTTCTGACACGTAATTACAAAATGTCAGTCATACATTTTGTAATTAAATTTCATAAATGACATATAAAAAAAATTTGCAGGTTTCTCTCCGGGCGCTCCGGCTTCCTGCCAAAGTCTGAAATAATGACTATATTATAAATATATACAGTATATATAAAAAGATTAGACAGGAATATATATATATATATATATATATATATATATATATATATATATATATATATATATATATATATATATATATATATATATATATATATATGTATGTATAAGGTCATTATATACTGTATGTAAATGTATAATATAAAACCTCAAGTCAGAATAGTGTGAAACAAGACATACGTGGAAGCAAAGTAACGCAAAACAACTTCAAAGGTTTTCCGCAGCCTTTAAAATGTCTCTCGATCTTTAAATGCTCACAAAACTTTATTGTCTCCAAATATCTCCATTAACTTAGAAACGCAATTAAGATCACATGTGAATAAGTCTGTTGACGCGATAAATCAAGAAAAAAAAAAAAAAACATGCAGCGCCATCATCCTCCTACCACTTCCTGTTGTCTTCTTCGTCTTTTCCGTGCGTAGCAACATCTGGGTGTTAATCACGGGACTTGGGTGATGCTAAAAAGTGTTTCCATTGCAGTTTTTACGAAACACACAGGAACTTCTCTACAGCTGAAAAGTCACCTTTGAGTGTATAGACATGTACATCCTTTTCATTAGCTTGACGTTTAAAGGATCCGTTTTCGATTGGTCCAAAATAATGTCCTAATTTTCTGACGCGGAATTTGAGGTTTTATATCCTTTCAGGGTTGGTGTTAAAAAAAATTCAGTAAAAAACAAAAGTCAATGATTCATAACAGGAGTTCAACAAGAGTGTACCATTTTATTGCGCCTTCCTCAGAAGATTTACCACGTAGCTCTGAGATGCATCGCTGCGGAATGATGTTTCTAAAGTTACATACACACATTTTATTGCATTGGTTTGATGCAGCGTGTTTCTCTGGGATCTTTGGTGCAGTTTCAGAGAACATAGTTACACTTTTTTAAGAGACACTTTTCAAGAACAATGCCAGTTTAATGACAGCAGAAAGATTTGTCAAGCGGTTTTATTTGAAGCAGAGTGAAGTGAATGATACGTTCCTTTGGGAAAGAGGGATTAACTTGTGTTGGCGTCCTTTTAACCATGCTCAGTTTTCAAGAAAAAAAAACAACAAAAAAGCAGTTGTGTTACTTTTCAAGTTGGGTTTTTTTTTTTTTTTACATGAATTGTGAGTTCAAAACGTTGACAAATAACTTGATCTAGTGGTTGCAGGTTTCTTTTAATTACCATTGTTTGGCCAACAATAATAGACGAGTTGAAATAATACAAAAGCTGTCAGAAATTAAAAGGTGCTGGAAACGTATTGCTGTTTTTGTTACGGAATTTTAAAAGAAAAATAAAATACATTTTTGACTTTGTGAGAATTAAACCCCCTGTTAAGTTTAAGCGCCTGAAGCAGGACTGCTTACTTCACATACAGTGTTAGACGGGTCTTTCCTTCCCTGGAAGCTAATTTAAATAATAAAATGCAGGAGAAAATGCTCTACTTTGTTGCAAAATTAGCCTTTAGTGTGATTGTTTATTTGTGCAGCAAAGATCCCGTTGAACGCGCACGCTGGTTTATACAGTGTTTATACAGCACTGATACTTTGCCACACGTACAGCAGAAGAAGAAAGTCGGCGATGGAGCTGCGCGGAAAGTCGAACCTCGTCTCATCAAGACAATTCACGTTCTACAGACGTAACGCTCTACTGTAGTTAATCCCAGCGTTGTGTTTATCAGATTAAAGCAGATATCCATTGAAGTCCTAACAGTTAAATCTGATTAATATAGTTTAGCCTCACGTCTACCTATAGATAACTTGGGAGGGACACCGTGAACAGATACTCTGGGTGGAGCAGGAACAAAGCTGTGGTAAAATGAGAGCATATTGCATACTGGAGAAATAAACAACCAAAGAGTGCATCGCTTCTGCATGTCTAACATCAATAGCTTCGGTGCTGCTAATGGGCATCGCCTGGTTGGACCTCGGTGCCAGGGTTGGCTTGTGTGTCCACAGAGCTGCTGGTTGTGACGTTCCACGCTCCGGCCTCGTGCTCCGGCTCCACTGAGGGGCCGGCAGAGGCCGGGGCGGAGGTGTTGGCCGCCGTCGGGTCCTCCACCACGAGGGCAGAGGACGGAGGGTGACTGAACGCGGCCTCGGTGTGAGGCTCGGACGAATTGCTCGCCGGGGTTTCGGACGGGAGGACGGCCGAGGGGTCGGAGGGCAGCAGTGAGGAGGAAGAGGAGTTAAAGGTGGCGTTTGAGGACAGGTTGGACGGAGGGAAGTAGGGCGAGTCGGACAGCATCTCTGAGGGCGAGTCCGCGAGCAGGCGGGTCGGCGTGGGCCGGGGAGTGTGTGCGGGAGTGGGCTCCTGTGGGTCTGTGCACACCGGCTCCCCTTCAGCCACGTACCACACCTCGTTATGCCGGTTCAGGAGCTTCAAGGGACTGCAGACACATAGGGGAGAACGTTGAAAAGAACGAAGAACAAACGGGACGGAAGCGGCGCGCGTCCTACCTGTCGTAACCAACTCCATAGTGATAGGTGTGGTTGTAGGAGGCGCGAACTCGCTCCAGCTCTTTGGTCAGCAGGTGGGAGTGAAGCCTGGAGGTGACCGACAGCATCCAGCCTCCGTAGCTCCTCACATACACGTCCATGTCCGGCATCGCCGTAAAATACACCTGGGCAGCCAGAGCGAGGAAAACACCAGTGAGCAGCAAGAACTACCACCAAGCCCCGGCGTCGTAAAGCTGTCTTCCATGTACGGCGGCATATCAGGGCCATTATGGGTTGGAAAAAGGACAGAATTTCAGTGAGAAAAAACTTCAGAAATTGTCTAGAAGAACAAGGAAATCTCCGAGTTTGAAAAGTCCAAAATTGGCTAGAACTCAAACTTTGAGGTTGATCTCAGGAATTTTCAAGAAAAATTTGAACATTTTTGATTTTTCAAAGTCAGAAATCATGTGACAATTCTAATGAAACTTTATTGGCTGCCAGTGCGTTTGAAGATATTGGGATCTATTTATGGACTGATTCATGGACCTCATTAGGGCCTTGAGGTCCACAGATCAAGACCTGCAATATAAATAAAGTATTACTTACTTTTTACAATTTTTATTTGGAAAACCTGTGAACCACTTTCTATCCACTTAAAAATAATCCACTACTTTGTCCACAAAAGCCCAATAAAAACCGAATGTCCTGAACAAAAATGTGAATATTTTTTAAAGGGGTAGTATTATGTATTTTACAGCCACAAAATATGATTTTGTAGCACAATCAAGAAACTAACTTACCTTCAGTTCTTATTAAAGTGCTATATATAAATCAAATCTGACTTAAGAGAAATTTTACTTTGTAACTTAACACTATGAAATTGGGCATCTGTCTCTTTAAGAAGCTCCTGTTCTTTCTGAAGCTCCGCCCTCAGGAAGTCACCACAACATGGCTTCGTTATTAACCCTTTACCAATGATTTTACCAGAGTTGCACGGAGAAGTAGCTCTTACAAGACGTAAAGGTCCTTTGTCCATAGAAAGAAAAATACATTTCTGCCAAAAAACTAAGAAATTATGAGAATAATCTGGGAATTTTTCTAGAAAAAACTCAGACATTTCTGAGATTAATCTCAAAATGTCCAAGTTGTTGGCAGAAACACACTTGTCCTTTTTCCTGTCACCTATGACCTTGAAAGGTCGTCGTACTCACATGATGAGCTCGGCAGGTGTGAGGTTCCACCGGGTGTTTTGCTATTTGTTTTGATCAAGGATTTCTCAAACATGCATGAAAGAATCAGCAACACTCCAGGTATGTTTTTGATGAAGGAATCACACCACAACACGATGCAAAGCTCTGAAAACGACCCTTTTCAGGGGCCACATTTACTCCGGTTAGTCTTCTTCCTCTGGGTGAAACGCGGTCTGGCGTCAGACTCAGTTTTCTGCTTCGGTGCTTCTTATTGATCTCTAAACAAAAAGCCCTGATCGACTTCTGCACCGCAGTGCCTAACCTTCAAACCGACAATCGCAGAAGAAACCGCATCCCTCTGCAGTCCCAGCTCACCTTGTCGTTGGTGGGCGTGGGCGGCTTGTCCTGATAGGCCGCCGGCAGCGGGAAATTGAGCGTGTAGACGGCCGGCTCCCACAGCTTGGTTTCCTCTGGGACCTTCACCAGGACTGGGGCGGTCATCTCCATTTTCACGCCTGAACCCGGGAAGAAAAATAAATAAACCAAATAAAACAGTGTTAAATGCCCTCAGTCGTCCTCTTCCTCTCGTGTTCTCGCCTTCGTCGTTTGCTCCGTTGATGTACTGGAAGAGTCTCCTGAAAGCCATGGCTGCTCCCACTCCCATGAAGTAGGCTTCGGCGTCTGTCGACACCCAGCGAGTGGGGGAGAGGTGTCGCACCTGAACACACACACACACATATAAATGTGAGAAGAGGAAGAAAAAGTTGTGTTTTTGCTTCTTGTTGGGGGTTCAGACTCACTTCATACTCGTCTGTTTTGCAGACCAGTTCATATTCCAGACATTCCTTGGACTCGGTGCAGAAGCTGGTGTTGGTGCTTGGTCTGCAACACGGGAGAGGGGGGGGGGGTTGTCATTTATAGTCAGGGTGGGCAATCTGGACCTTGGAAATATTTCTCTCGAAAAACATTCCCGTCTTCTTCAAGACAACGGTTAGTTAAAGAAGTGTCATTTACACAAACCGGACAGCAACGGTATTTAATCGTATTTTCAAATGTACTCATCTTTATCGTTGCGCTTGTGGAACAGTAGAGTAAACATTAAATATAACTTCTCTTATGAGAAGTGGGTTTAGTTTTCTATTTAACGTTAACAGGAATTTATCAAGACAATGCTAAATGAAAATTCTGGTCATGATACATTTTTGCAATAACGATAAACATGTATCGCGATATGCAATACATGTGTATCACAAATTGAATTCGTCAGATTCAATAAATTAGAATATATGCCCGAAGAGTCGATAGTGCCTTTTGAAAATAGCTTTTAAGTGGATATCAAACATATTTCATTGCCTGTGTAGAGTTGGGAGCCATATTTGTGCCAAATGTGTTCAGCTGATTTTCCTCTTAAATACACATTTGTGAATTACTCTAAATCAACATGTGTCCACTTAATAAAATCCACTCAGTAAAATCTGGGCATGCAGAATGCTTCAGGACGTCTGTTAGTCCATGAAACTTCATGGCTAAAAGGAAATAAAACTTTTCCAGTCTGGATTTTACATAACTGTGTTAGTGATTCACTTGATCAAAATCAAACACCTAAAAAAGGTGACAATTTATACACTTTTGACCCTTTTAGACCATGACTCAGCACTAACATTTTTGTATTTTAGCCCCAACAAAAGTTGTGTCTTTTTCTAGCACAGGTTTTCCTTCCACTAAACCTTCCATAGGTATACTTGGACGCATCACTCTGAGAACAGAGTGACTTTTAGAGCAGAATTACTGAAATGATTTAGTGTTTTAATTGTAGTTCTAATGATTTTTGATGGATTCGCGCTGCATCTGTAAATACTCAAAGAAAGTCGCTGTAGGTGGAACGTTTTCCAGGATTTTCTTCAGCGTTGGTTTGGAGTTCAGGCTGAAACGGCGACTGATCGTGATCCATGTTGTGTTTGCATTAATAACTGAAGCCATCCACTCACCCCACGCTGCTTTCAATGGAAACCACCAGGGACAAAATAGCCACGGCAACGACGAAAACCCTGGAGGAGAACAGCACATGAAGATGATTTTTCATATAAACAACTGTTTGTTTTTTCTCATTGTTTTGGTTCAGGCCACACTGAAAAAAGCTTTAAAGAAGTAGCTGCAGATGTTGCACACAGCGTTCAGAAAGTGGAAAAGCAAAGAAAACATGGCAGAGAGTTTAACGAAGACAACAAAGATGTAAAATAAAAAAAGAACAAAAAAAAAAAAAGAAAATGTCAAAAGAGGAGGAAGGAACGAGGCTGCTGCTGCTGCTGCTGCTGCAGTCAGGACTGGGTTTCATCACTGCAGAGATGAAACTGGACACGTGTTCCTGTTTCTGCTGCTGCACCGAGGAGAGAGGGAGACAAATCTGCTGCATCATCAGTCTGCTCTGCAATCCAAAGGCGTTTTAAGGTCAGGAAGGAGCAGAAGGACTCCATCTTCCTCACCTGAGAGAGTCTGCAAAAGCTTAGACCGGCAAAGAATGCCGGGAGCTTTAAAATGTACCATAATAACAACAATAATAAGAAGTAATGTCTCTAAATATGACTGAAGCATCAACGCACCGTTTCAGATCGTGCGCAGCGACGTGCGCATGCACGCGCTGCTTAAAAAGATAAATGACGCAAACGTGAACTTTACCTGAGGGAATTCACCAGCATTAGAAATCAAATGTACCTTACTGAGGAGTTTAGAAGAAGAAGAAGAAAAAAAGGGTAGGCTATTCAATGTCCTGATATTCTGTAGATACTCACATGGTGACCGTCCTGTGTGCGTGGAGCTATTTCCCACCTGCAAGGAGAGCGCAGAGCGGAGGAGACTGATGGAGACTGCAGTGTGCTGCACCCGGACAGGAGCTGGTGGGTTTAATGCAGACTGAGAGGTGTGTGGGGCGGGGAGGGGGGCCCGGGGTCCGCCCACTGCACACAGGAAGGAGGAGACCGGCCACCGGAAACTCTCTAATCTCTCACCGATCACCAGTAAAAATGAAAACGTCTCGCATGAGTCACACACTGCAAAAAAATAAAATAAAATAAAAATAAAATAAATAAATAAATTAATTAATTTAAAAAGTCATAAAATGGGTTTACAAAGCGGGGATAGGGGGTCACTTTAGTGGGTCATGAATCAAGGTGGGTTCCAGGAACTTCACAGACGTTTCCATGACAAACGTCACGTGCAAATTTCTGTCAATACTCTTCCAACGTCTGGGAAAAAAATAAAAACAAAATAAAAATAAAAAAAAGTTCACAATGCCCTTGTTTCCATTAAATAAGAAATGAAAATAAACACGCTGGTTGACGTGATAAGTGGACAAAAATCAATCGGCTTGAGAGCTACATCCGGGCTCTCTCCCAAACGAAGTGTTTGGAGGACGTGTTAATGCTCACGCCCCCTTGTGGCAGCGGTGAAACATTACAACTAGACGGCTTTAAATAAGAGGTAACGATGTTTATTTGAACACATTGAACTGATGAGGGTCGACCTTTAATTTATGATCATGAGCAGCACTGGCTTGTTGCACTTATTAGAAATCAAGCTAAACTTCTCAGACATGTTTGAGTATTCGCAGCTTGGAGAAGCTAACGTCACAGAAAGCTATGGCCACGAGTGTTTTTGATTCCCGTCACTGGATTTTGCGGCACTGTAGACACGCTGCTTAAAAACTCACTTTTCACAGCTTTTGTTTTGTCTGAAAGTATTAAAATATGCACTTTGTTCATCTAAATCTGCTCCAGTTTAGAATGAGAGTCAGGGTTTCCTCCAGTGTATTATAAGCCTGGCGGGCCACCAGGCTTTACTTGTGCCCCCACCAGGATAAGCAAATAAGCTTATTTAAGCTTTTTTTTTTTTAATGGTTTGTGAAGTAGATTTTTTAAGGCTTTATAGTTGGTGTCAAGTATTAATTTTTTAATCTTTCAATTACACAAGATGGTCAAGTGATATTTTCAAATTTCCTGTCAACATTAAATATTTTTTTACACTCAAAAACACGACGGGCCGCTGGATGAACGACTGCCCGAGGTCCCAACCACCAGTTTAGAGGGACAAGCAGCGTTTGTCCGTGGGTTCTGTCAGTCATACAAATCATTCAATGCTTTGGACTAAAACCTGAGAGGAACATCTTAGTTAAAAAAACATTTCATGCAAAGATACAGATTTTTAAAGAATTATATCATTTAGATATCTGTGCTGGACTGACGACCTGTCCAGGGTGACCCCGCCTCTCGGCCGTTGACAAACCAGTAGCCCTCCCAACCGCAATGGGGTAAGAGTGAAAGAAAATGGCTGGATGGATCATTTAGCTATATACAGTATATAAAGAAGAATAAGGAACTCTGATGCACACTTTGTAATAAAAATCTGCTCATTTGCATCTTATTGCCACCTATAATTTAATTCTAGAGTTTTTATGCTGCTGGATCCACCGGGGCGTGATGTACCAGTAATTATAAACCTGTTTACAGAACCGATAAGCTCCGTTATTTTGCCTGATCGCCAGCCGGCCAGCCGGTATTTACATGTGAAACCGATCCTCACAAAGATCTGATGATCAAAATTTGCCCCACTGTTCCAATATTCAGGACTTTCTGACAAAAAAAAAAAAATGAAAAAGTTCAGAATCTGAAATTTGGCTCTTTTAATAATCAATAGTAGGTCAGAAAATTGCCATCGGTACACCCCAAGTAATTCAAAGACAAAGCAATAACTTCATTTAAATAGAATAAATGTTTTATTGGCGCAAAACCAAAGAGACTCTTTTCATTCTGTTCAGCAGTCCAAAACTAACTGCAGAGTATCCAGACTCCACCATTTCATCTAAAAATAAAAATAAAACTCATCAGAATGAAAACAAATAGCTAGCAATCATTCAGTCTTCTCATCACACGTTGGCCCCGACTGGTGGGAGTAGCAGCAGCTGTCTCCGTACGCACACGTTCCCTGGACAAGAGGGAAGCAAAGCGAGATCAGAACGGATAGGAGCGGGTCGCGGTTCCTCTGAGGCGGATCTGACCTGCTTGAACTTCTTGCAGGGGATGCTCTTGAGCTGCGAAGGGTCAGTGATCGGGTTCTTCCTCTTGTTCTGGAACTTCTTCCTCTTGTCCTGCAGGTCAGTAGAGATGCTGCCCCTGGAACAGACGGAAACAATCAGCGCGATAAACTCCAGTGGTCGGCCATGTTCTACTGGAGGAATCAGATTGGAAGAAATGACGACTGCATGACTAAACTGAATTGTTCGCCTATTTCTGCACAGAAATACTTTCAGATTTATTAATTAACAGGGTTGGTTGTGGGACTACGATCTAATTGTCACCAAGGTAACCAAACGAAGATGAACTCGTCTCTTTTCACAAACTGAAAAACTTTTTTTTTTAACCTTCAGTCTCCAACAAGCAGATGTGTAAGCCATAATCATTTTAGATTTATTAAATAGATTAGAATATTATTGTAAAGTATTTTTTTGTAACGTAATTAGAATGTTTAATCTATTATGTAGACTCATTACCCACTGACGTATTTCATGTGTTTATTTCTATTTCTATTATTTTTGAAGATTATGGCGAATAACTAAACAAAAGCCAAAGCCAGAAATTCAAAAAAATAGGATATTTACTTAAAAATATGTAAATAGTAGAAATTAGTAAGAGCTACAAAATCATAGGGAAGACCGCAGACATGGCAGAGCACCATTTCCAAGGATATACTTATGGAAAGTCTAGTGGAAGAAAAAAGTGCACCAAAAAGAGATGAATAAGCTCAATGATTTTAACTTTCTAAATTGAGTTATTGGGAGAAAAAAACAAACCTTGAGATGTGTGTGTGTGAATGGGTGAGTTTGTGTGACCCACCCTGCTTTGGCTCGAGCTTTGGGCCCCCAGAAGGCCTGAGGGTTCTCCTGGAACCGGGTCAGGTGGCTTCTACGAGACTGAGGGTTTGCATCCTCTCTCACGGTGAAGCAGGCTTCCAGGCTAAACACACGGAGGTCATAAAAATACACACAAATTATTTTCACAACAGAAGGAAACATTTTCCAAAGAAAAGTCCCGACGTGAGCCGATCCACTGGACCTCCTGGTAAAACATCGGGTCTCGTCTCACCTGGGTTCAGTGGAGAGGATCTTGAACGCAGGACTGGTCTGAGACAATTTCTCCCTCTTTACAGGATTCGTTTTCTCCTAAACGGGGAGGGGGAAAAAAAACCCACCATGGTGTGATTCTTGAATATGGATTTCTGTTGGGATGTAATGACTGAAAACGTGTTTTGTGAAGCATCTACCCAACATCTCATGACGTCCCAGATGACTCCGGGAGGAGCGTCCGTCTTAACCGCGTTTTTACAGGCGTGAGAGAGAGAAACCCGGTGGCCCGCGTGGAGGAGAGCCGACCTGCGGGAGAGCAGACCCGGTCCGTCCGTCCGAGACGCGACATCCGTTTAACCATCCACACTGTTCAGATTTAGTCATGTTTGTTTCCTAGTTTAGTGTGTTAATACCCAAACCTTTCCCTCTGTTCATTGACCACATGATGAAACTAATTACTTTTCACAGGCAACTCAAATAAGATTAAACTCACATCTTAAATGTGTTTATCATTTTTCACAGCGCTCTGCGTCTTTTTCGTTATTTCGATCATTTCTCATTTCCTGCAAATAAATAATAAATATTTGCTTAGAATTTCGGAGCTATGCTGTCAGTAGTTCATAGAATAAAAGAACAATATTCATTTTACTCATACATACACCTATAAAGAGTAAAATCAAAGAAACTGATCACTTTGCAGTGGTCTCTACATTTTTTCCAGATATGTATACAAGACTAAATATTCCTGCCAAGCCAAAATGTCAGACCTGACATTTTTATGAATTTAACATCTTCATTCAAGATCCATGAATTTAAGACTTTTTAAAAATGCACACAAACATTCCAGACTCCTAAAAATGTCCACATTTGTTTTAGGATATTTTTTGTAAATCATAATTAATTATGCACAGCTTTTTTTTTTTTTTTCTAAAAACAAACTCCAGAGATATAAAAACGTTGTGTCCTACCTAAACTGGAGCAACGGCGGAGTGTTACAGTGTATTGTGCTGCTCAGACTGTCCACTGTGTAGTAGAGAGGAATATCTTCCAACTCCTGAGACGAACAGAGAAAACGTTCATCATCTACGACCCCCAACCTGCACCGCCGCAGCCACACTGCACCCCCACCGCACCCCCACCGGGCCAGGGGTTACCTCGGTAACCATGCTGAGCATGCCCCGGATACGTTTGGACGTTCCGAATCTGGACGGGTTCCCCGACACGGCCTCCAAAACCTTCTGGACGAAGTCCTTGTCGTGGATGGCTTCGGCCCAGAAGGGACCGCCCAGCTACGAGACAGAACCAAAAGACTGTTCAAACGCCCAGGGCGCTTTTCGAGCTTCGCGCTCACAAAAGAAAGAGCAAAACCACTTTGTTGAGGTCTGATGTCTGTATTATCATCATTATTATTATTATTGTTTGAGTGTTGACGTCTATGTGCTACCTGTTGTCTCTGTCCGCAGTGCTCGCACTCTGGTCCGACCGGCGGCCCAGTGGCAGCAGAATACTTCATGCTGCAAGCACACTATTCAACTTCATCACTTACATAGGAGGGAAACAGTCTTAAAATGTCAAAAATATGTATTAGGATGCAACAGACGGGTTAGGAAGTGCAATGAAGATCCTAGTTTAGGTATTCCACATTAAAAAGCCGATACAACCTTAGAAAGAACAGAGAGGTTTGTCGTTTTGAGAACAAGGACATTGCATACTTCACAAGGACTCTCGGGAAGTCTTCATTGGTTTCTTCCACCACCACACACAAACACTTCATATTTCTCAGACACCATGCAAAAACAAAAAGGTTCTGCCCAGATGATGTGTCAAAGCCAACCGGACCAGAACGACAAGAACAGAATGATGCCAGTTTTTCCCTGCAGCCCGTAGAGAGAGAACGCATTTCTGAAACTGCAGTTTCAGTTTTTATCGTGTGTCTTTCTCTTACTGCTTGCCGCTGCTTATTCTTCTACCCAGTCTCTGCATGTGGAAGGAGCCGCAGCCGACGCAG